TTGGAGCCCCTAATAGGAGATTTGTTAACTATACAATTTGCTGATTAAATATTTAGTGAGGGACATTCCTCGCTATTAGGGGAAGAAAACTAGAAGCTTAATGAATCTCAATAAATTTTTCTAAAAAATCAAATTAATTATTTGAGTCTATATACAAGTATAATTGAAATTGAAGCTCAAAATATCATTAACTTGAAACTATAGCTAGACAAATGCCAAATGTATTTACTGATCACTATGGGTGTCAATATAGGATATGACACGCGGGTCGACCCGCGACATGACACGAAAATTCGTGTTCTGGTTGACTTGCAAAAAAATCGTGTCGTGTTCGTGTTGGGAAAAATGACACGTAAAAAATTCGTGTCGTGTTCGTGTTGATGTATTTGTGTTTGTGTTGACCCATTTTTTTTAATTATATTTTTTATTATTATTATTACATTTTATATTTTTATAATTTCAACCCATTTTTTAAAAAAAATTTGTCAATTACCGTTTTGATCCCTATTTTGCGTGTTATTCGTGTCTGTCGTGTCGTGTCAACTCGCAAAAAATTCGTGTCGTGTTAGTGTTGAAGATTTTGACACGAATAAAAATTCATGCCGTATTCGTGTCATGTCAAATTTGTGTCGTGTCAAATGTGTGTTGTGTCAACCCGTTTTGACACTCCTACTGATCACAAAGGAGGGACTAAGTCTCAAAGTCTTGCAAAGAACGACCAACCTATAATGGAGATTCCAATAGGACAAAATATGTTCGAGCCTGTCAAAGCCATAAGCGTAAATGACTTATAAGGGCTAAAGACATCAATCCACGAAAAAAGAAAATAAGTCACTTATTGTGCTTCTTAAAGAGGTTAATCCCGAAGAAGGCGAACTCGGCGAAATAAGTACAGATGCTAATTACAATAATCATGGGATTACGGAATGGCCAAATCTGGTGTCATGAAAAATGATGAATATTTGATTGTTGTTGACCTATGCAATAAACTATATTGATATAGGAGAAAAATATGATAATATTATACCTTTCGTCGACGACACCATTGCCTTCTCAGTAACTCTTCTTATCTCAAGAGATAATCTATACTAAGAATCCAAAACTATTCGAGAATATTAGAAGCATTTAGGCAGGAATAAATGAAAAGAGTCAATTAAGGAAGAGCAATGGTTTTCACAAAGACCTAACATCAATCACGATGTTCCTTATTCTCCCGTGCTGGATTTTATTACGTTCTGTTACTTGATCAGTATCACAACTAAAATACATCTTTAGATGCTTTTAATGGATGTCGTGACTATAGGTTCTTTCACGGTGATATTTATTTGAAAATCGCTGAAGGATGGGGTCTTTAAGGTTTATTAATATACTCTTTTTTCCTTTGTCATTTTTTTTCCAAGGATTTTTTCCTAGCCAAAGGTTTTTAATGAGGCAGTTTGTGCAATGCTTTGTAGCATATGTCATGTACTCTTTTACCTTTGCTAGTTTTTTTTCTATTGGGTTTTCTAGCAAGGTTTTAACGAGGCATAATGATGAGTCTCCAATTAACTATGTATTACGGGTTAATATGAACATGAAATTGATTTAAAAGTAATTAAAAGTTATGAGAATTATAATTAAATTGTTATTTTATTATCAATTATATTCTCATAAAATTTCTTATATTTTGCAATAAATTTCAGCTAAATAAAAAGATAAATTGGAGAGATCAAGTAGAGTTGCTTTGGATTTCTGAATCATTGAAGATCTTATCAAATCTTCCTTTGAATATTTTTAAGGAAAGTTTTCCATCAAATAAAAAGGGAAAGATTTAAAGGATTGGATCAAATATATGATTAGAGATTCTAGTGAAGATTCTATTGAAGATATTATAGAAAATTAAAAGATATGATTTCATCCCTGTAAAAAGGCAACTCTTAGAAACACAAAGGAGGATTCGACAGAGGCAAGCAGATTGAAAGGAAGGAGAAGAACACTAGATACCAAAGTTGGAGATTTCAGAGAGAAAGAGAAGCTTGAAGGAGACTGGGCAACATTGATTCTTCTTCTTCTTCTTCTTCTTTATGATTTTTTTTTTCTTTGTTTTGTTTAAGCCAGCTATGTCTGGCTAATTTTCTTTTGTAGTTGGCGTTATGGATCCGATGTGAACCCTTTATGATTTCTGAATTATTTTTATAATTGTTTTAATTCAATTAGTTTTATTTTACCTTGAATGAATTTCTCTATATCCTTATTAGAACTGATCACTATATTATAGGGCTTTGAGAGTTAGACCTCACAATAGGCATATTGGGATTTTAATTCAGACTGGGGTAAAATAACAATTTGTGCATGATTTAGACATAAGCTTGTATGAATTGCAGACTTTTTAATTCATCCACGTAATGCTTGATTCAAGAGGATTACTAGGACACTAGGATTCCAATTGGGTTAAAGGGTTACATACACTAAGACATTAGAGTTTAACTAATTGATTTGAGAAAGATGAATTGTCTGAACTAATGAGTTAATTAATTATAAGAATTAATTCAGATTTCTAAAGGAGGATCAAAGGTGAAGTGCATTTTGGCTACAGTTTCTTTACATTATTTACTTATATCTTTTCTTGCGTTCTTGATTATTCTTGAATGTTCTTGATTTTCATTATAATTAATTTCAATTATTTTTCTTTTAATTCAAAATCTATTTGCTAAACCAAATTGGATTGTCCAAATTAAGGGGAATAGTTAGGATAATATTTTGTGCTTTAATCCTCATGGTACGATACTCTACTCACATTTTATTACTTGAAACGATTGGTATACTTGTCGTAATCGCAACACATAAACTTAGTGCAATGATATCTATTGGGATGTGTTTTAAATGATGTTACCAATCCAATTGAATAGACATTACTACAATTTAATTTGGGAGAAGATTACGAGATAACCATTATGGAAAATTGTAATTGTTGATCCACTTCCTTAGCTCCAGCAGCAGCTATATGACTCAAATGAGAGAGAGTTATATATACTGCATTTTTTTTTTCTTATACCAAATTTTTATCCAACTGGATTTTGTTAATTTATTTTTTTTAATGAGGCAGTCTAAGCTAGCGTGTAATAAATTTTTTATGTTAATTATGAATATTATATTTTTTTTCTTTCGCTATATTTTTTATCCCATTGAATTTTCCTTGGTAGGTTTTAGTGAGACATATTCGTAGTGTATAATCATCCAAGGGAGAATGTTGTGAATGTGAAACATAAATTTCACATGTGGATGACTATTGGAATTTCAAGAAGTTTATGTAACTTTTTATTTGCATATGACTTTTGGTATGAAATATAACTATCATACTAATAGTGTAATAAAGTGTACTTGCTCTTTTATTCATGTATAGTGTCCTATATAAGGACAAGACTTATATATGATCTTCATATGTTTTCTATCATCACTATCTTTTCTCTATTTCTCTTACTTTATTTTATAATAGGGATTTGCATATATCATTTAACATGATACAAGAAAGTTTTTTACACACACAGCATTTTTTTGGGTCGACACTTTTTGAAGCAAAAAAAAAAAAACTACGGGATGCAAAACGAATCTCTATAACATTACATAATCACTTTTCCTATAACATAACTCTTATAAAATCCTTTATAATAACTACCGGTTTATTTACGTACTTGATGAATGAATGTTATTTTAGAACTTCATTTTTAGCTTACACTTACACTTTTTTATCATTTTCATTTTAATAAAAATTCTAAAAGTAATAAATATCAATTAAATATTTTTTTAAATCGTGTTTAATCCCATTGCGAATCTATTTGCATTGTAATGTAAATAACTAAATGGTAGTAGATCCTCTAATATGTTAATTAATATGATCATATTATATTAATCATAAATATACAAGGGTGGATAAATAGTGCTAAAGTAAAAAGGAGAATACATGGGAATGGATAGTTACAATATTATCACCAGTAATTCTCCGTTATATGATTAGAATTCTTTCAGGGTCATATTAATTGAAATCAATTTGCTAACTAAAATATGAGTGAGGATATTCTAACTACTAAAAACTCTTACTACTAACTTATTACTCATTACATCACCATTGGATCAAAGAGAGAGAATGTTAAAAAGTTTTTGAAGAGAGAGTAAATGTTAATCTAATGGTGATTAGATAGGTTGTAAGTTGGTAGTAGAAAATTTTGGTAGTTAAAATATCTCTCCTCCTAAAATATAGGGTCCATAATTTTTTTTTCTCTTTTTCCTAAAGAAGGTTATTGTCTTTGCTGCAGAAGATTATTTTGATGCAATTACATAAGATATATAGACCCCACTAAATATACCTTTAGACAATCAGTGATTATTAAAAATGAGAGGTTATATTTACTACCTCTTAATATCAAATCTTAATCATTGATTTTCGTCAATCTAACAGGTATAATTTATTGAAAATTAGTAATTAATTAATAAGTAGAGAAATGTTATACTTACTATCTTTTTTTTTACTACTTCTTACTATCAAATCTTATCCGTTGATTTTTGTCAATCTAACAGCTATAATTTATTAAAAATTAATAATTATTTAATAAATGTGATTTTTAATAAATTATAACCGTTAGATTGACAGAAATCAACGGTTAAGATTTGATAGTATATGACCCAATAAATTACAACAGTTAGATTGACAGAATCAAATGTTAAGATTTAGTAATAAAAAGTAATAAGAAAAAGAGGTAGTAACTATAATGTCTCCCGTTAAAAATTACCCTCATAATTAATAGGGGTTTGCATTTGTCATTTAACATGACACAACAAAATTTTCTACACCCACAATATTTTAAGGGGCCCACGCTTTTTGAAAAAAAAAAAAAAAACTACGGCACGCAAAACGAATCTCTATAACATTACACAATCATTTTTTCTACCACGTAACTCTTATAAAATCCTAATTAATATATAATAAACTTGTGAAATTAATACAAGGCAAGGTCGATTCCTAGTTGCAACAGAACCGAAATGAAAACATGGCGTTAGCCATTAGGGTTTTATGGACAGTGAGAAAGAGTTGCATAGGAAAGCTTCACCCTTTGCCAAATTCTCAGCATTTCTTTTACTGCAAACATTCAAATTCAAATTCAAATCCCCTTCTCCTCAAATTGCTTCAGGTCCCTAATTCACGCATCAAAACAACGCTGGATCATGAAGTGTCTTCCTTTCAAAGCTCCCAACTTTCTTGGGAATTTATTGTTACCTCACTAAGCCCTTCGTCTTCTCAGAAAGCTCGCTTGGTAGTAATCTTCTCTCTCGGTTTTTCATTTCATCTTTTTTTCCCCCCTCTTTTGGGTTTGATACATATTATTTTTTTAATTAAATTGATTGATATCTGATATGAAGAAAAATCAAGCAAATGGGGGTTTTACACCAACTTTTTTTTTTTAATTGAAAAAATGGGAAAGTTGTGGTTTTAACAAATTTTCTGATGAATTTTATATATAATAAGGTTTCAGTTTCTCAATTATGACATTAATTATACTTCCTGGATTCCCAAACAGAGCTTGTGGTAATGATTATTCTCATATATTATTATTGATTGGTCAGGTTTTGGAATGGATTTTGGAGAAATTACTGAAAGAAAATGAAAAAGACCATAATCTCTTCTCTGAACTCATCTTTCTATGTGAAAAGCTGAAGAATGTGCCACTAGGAATGCGTGTGTTCACTTCTATGGAGGCTATTGGAGTTAAACCCACTTCCCTGGTTTTCAATTCCCTTATAAGTGCTTGCTTATCTTCACATGATATTGTTACAGCATATAGTTTATTTGAGATCATGGAGAGTTCAGAGAGCTATAAACCTGATTTTCACACTTATAATATCTTTATTTCAGCATTTTCCAAGTCGGGGAATGTTGATGCCATGCTAGCTTGGTACTCAGCTAAGAAGGCTGCTGGACTTGGTTCTGATCTTCAAATGTTTGAATCCCTTGTATCGGGCTGTGTTAATTCAAGAAACTTCGAAATTGCTGATAGAATTTTTGAAGAAATGATGATATCTGAAATTATACCTAGTGTATCCATACTGGAAAGTATGCTTAAAGGGCTTTGCAAGCAGAAGAGTTTGGGTCGAGCTGAGGAGTTCTTCAAGTTTGTGCTGGATGCTGGATGGGAAATCAATGAAAACATGGCTGAGGAGTTAGTAGCTTTGTATCATGAAAAAGGACAAGTGGAAAAGATGGAGGAGCTACTTGAAACTATTACAAAGCCCTGTCCAGTTAGTACTGTTGTCCTCTCACGAATCCATTGTGGGATTATAAGGATGTATGCAATGTTAGATAGATTGGATGATGTAGAGTTTGCTGTGGGTAGAATGCTGAAACAAGGGCTGTCATTCACAAGTGCAGATGATGTTGAAAAGGTTATCTGTTCATACTTTAGAAGGGAAGCTTATGATAGGCTAGACATATTCTTGGAATGTTTAAAGAGTTGCTATGTGCTTACCAAATCAACTTATGATTTGTTGGTATCCGGCTATAGAAGAGCAAGCTTGCATGAAAAAGTAGATTCAGTGATGGAAAACATGAATTCAGAAGGATTAGCATAACAGCTTATGGTGGTGATGAGAGATGAGCTCCATTCAGCTCCTCAATTTTTACACCAGGCAGCAATAATCTAGTGTTGTTAGCAATCAATGGGTATACAGTCAAATGAATATAAAAAATTCAGCATGTCATTTTATCCTCTGTCCCTCTATCAAGCTTTACAATTGGGATTGAAGATTGTTTAATTATTCCAATTAAGGCTTCTGTATAGATTGTAGAGTCCACACCATTTTGTTTCACAGTCAGAGTGACTGACTTCAAGATCATCGTATAAATAATAAATTTACTTTTAAGGGTGATGGCTGGTAGACATTTCAACGTACAACTGAAATCATGATGGAGCCAAATTCCGTATTTGTTGTATGACTTAACCATGTAGCTGGATGTTTGATAATACAAGAAAGATTTCAGTTGTTTTTTAATTGTTGATTATATTTCCTGAAACTGAAACTGGGACAATCATTTATCTCTTCCCTTCCCTTCCCCTTTGTCTTAACACTGAAGAAGTGGGTGACGTATAAGCGATGCATGACTGATTGACTGCTCCCATGTATTCCTCATTTATCTCTCAGTTGCAACCTCTGTCTCACTATACTGAATGATCATGAGAGAAAGTCATACTACGATAGCAATTTTCATTGAAAATAAGTGAATAATTCTGGTCAATTCCATTAGAACTATTTTTTGTTTGAATTGTTTTAACATTTCTAGATAGTTAACTACTAGTTGGTGGATTTCCACTCCGTAGAGATAACGACACGTAGGTCTTCGAGATGGTATTCATAGGAGATCGAGATAACGTTGCCGTTGCAAGTGTTGGAGAAGGCAATGGCTAGTGTAGTTTTACCTTGACATTTCATCAAACAACGTTCATACATTTCAGTTTGGTTTATGTAATTGCCCGGATTTGGTTCATGTCAGTGCATAGTTGCTAATATATTTGTTTAACAAAACATTCTCAGTTAGATAAAGATTTTCCGAGACCTCTTGACAATAGCAATCAAACAAGATGAACAACTTTTACCCCCTAACATTGGGTTTGAATATTTTTTTTCCCATTAAGAGGCATCCTAGAGAGCAAACATTAATCATAGCATGTGGAAAATACATTGAAGATATTGGTAAAATTAGGGTATAGACAAAAGGGTAGAAAGTAATGAGCAAACAGCCTTCATTTATTCAACGGGAAAAGTTGCCACTATGTATTCAAGATGAAAATCATTAATCATAGCACGTGAAAGCAATTTCATCACTTCCAGAATTCCAATTCTGAAAGTCCAGAGGACGTTCATATGCTTCTTAAACTAGTCACTTGTTTTCTGACATGAACTTCCACCATAATTGGCAACTGCTACTGTGTTACTTCAAAGGTAAAAACGATTTCAACCATTCTTTCCATGGAGCATCCTGTTGTTGCTCAACCCAAGACAAGAAACAGCTATCCAACAAGCAGAAGAAGTTGACATAAAGGAGCTGATACCTTACAGGTATATACCGAAAATTCGCAACCTGAACAATTGGCCATATGCCCCCTTCTAAAATCAAGGCTGGGAGAAAATCTCTCTTCACATCTTCTTTTATTTGAGGAACACTCTTTCCACTAGAAAAACCCATGTAAGTAAAAAACACGAGTAAATCCAATGGCCCAAAGAGAAACCCATCAGCGCCAACTTTTGCAGCAACAAAGCGGAAGGAATTGGGTTTAAGCATAAGTTTCAATCTTATAAACCGATCCAAACCTTCATACCTACAATAATTAACATATAAGAACAAGGGGAATCGACAAGTTGATTACAAAATACATAGTACATGTCAACACCCCCCAAAATAAAATAAAAAATAAAAAAACATACTAGCAGATACAAAAGCACACATGTACAAGTCTTTCCTTTACTGATTCACCACTACAAGATAGCAGCTACAAAGATTTTAATGAGTGTAAGAGTATCTCCTAGACTTAGAGCCCAAAATTAAAGATTCAAAACCTTAGCCGATGAGAAGGCCATACCAGTATACCACTATAATGCTACTGATCAGGTATTAAATGCTACATAAGTAATCCCACATAAAGTTTGAAGCCTTCCTTTTTAGTCAGTTGGAGATCTCATAAATTCAAACATCATCTCATGTGAACTACAAAACTTCTACTAATGAGACCATAAAAACATAAAGATTAATTTTTTTGATAAAAATAAAAATAATATTTTTAATAAACACGAGATTAAAAAGTGATTAGAAGGCATATCTAGAGCAGTGGTAAAGCCGCTCCTTTGTGACCAAAAGGTTTTGGGTTCAAATCCAAGATTCAGGAAATAATCTTTTTGCAAAAATGTAAGAGTAAGGTTATGTACAAAGATTTTCTCACCCCGACCCCGACAAGTCGAGGTTTCATAGGGAGCTCTTTTTTTTTTTGTAAGAATAAAAATGACTACCGGGTGTCTGAAGCAACTGAAAAAACACTTTTCAAAGCCATCCAGGAAAGAAAGAACCAGCAAAGAAACCTTCTACAATAACAGTGTCAACAAACAAACAGACAATAGAATTTATAAAAGGTAATACTTTTTACCAGTAGTGGCCGACAGGGCCAACAAATCCAAACCCAAACAAGCTGGTCGCACACACCCGTTTCCAGTTGATCTTGGTTTCTTTATCGTCATCCTTAGAGAGATTGCCATTAAACAAGAGAAATAAGCAAATTAGATGGGTGTGCTTACCAAGAATAAAGTGTCACATCATATACTAAGTGAACTAAATTGTTTAAAAGTACCAAAATATATGTGTTTGTAACTTTTGTATTACATTTACCCAAGTCATAGAAAGAAAGAGTAAAGTTATAACATATGGTTAATCCACATTTGAGGAGTTTATACAAATAGTAATCAGTTGCACTTCACAATGTTGCCAATATCAGACTCCAAAAGGCATGTCCGGTGCAGCTTCACCCTAACCAGAAAACAGGAACCATGACAATTATTTTTCCTGTCTCCCTATTTTGGAGGAATGAAGAAGTAAAATTTCCCAAGTGTAGCCACTGAATAAACCAGATGTTTCTATACAATTTTTCAATTGGCAAAAATTTCAAGGAGCATTAACATAATTTCCTTTTCCCTACCCCTCTTTCTATGGTTCGAGTGCAAAAATAACTGTATGTTATGAAGAATGGAAACTAATGGAATGACAAGGAATGGCACGACAAATTTTATAAAACGTGTGTTTTGGGAGTTTTTTGTTTAAAAGAATGACATGACAATGGAAGCACTCGAAGAACCCTCCTTGCCAATTGCAATTCACAACCCCAAATTTTTGTCCCTCCAAATTCTGGGGGTAAAGGAGGGAATGACACAGCTTCCGGTGGGATTACCCTCCATTCCTTCATTAAACAATCAAACAAGAGATTGTCATGTAACTTCCCATTCCATTTTCTTTAATCTCCCAAACATACCCTAAGTATGTAATGTAGTCAGTTTCTGCCTACAAAATCTCATTCGGAAAAATCAGCAACACCCACAAAATGGCACTTGAAAACATTGACCATCAACACAAATCATTAAAGAGCCACACCCATTTGCCTAACCGGAGAACAAGATCATATAATGCAGACAAAAAAGAAAACAACTACAAATTCATTTCCCTCTCAAAAAATACTTTCACACCTTCCCCACACAACTTAAAATCCAGGTCAAACATTTTATTCTCAGCTAAAACTTCAAACCGGTAATCAACTACAAAACTCAAACATAACAAGCATCATCATTCACCAAACGCATGCAAAATTAGAGATACCCATTTTCCAAAAAGAAATCTTTTCAAGGGAAACAATACCTGTTTTCTAGTATGGGTCTTGGCTGTGTAGTGGGTAACTTTCTGAGCAGCAATGTCACCAGCACCCCAAATCAAGCCAGAGCTGATAACCTGTGTCTTAACAGGGTGAACAGCCAAGCAATGTTGGTACCATTTCCACAACCTCAGCATATTCAAAGATTCACAACAAATTAGAATGATTCAAATAAAAAGGGCTATTAATCATGGAAAATCATCCCCTTTTAGGGATTTATTCAAATGCGGGCATTCGCAGCAAAACCCCAAAATAAAAAATAAAAATAAAAAATAAAAAATGAATCTTTTGAATGGCACTTTGGTTTCTATGGCTTTCTGTTACTCTTCAATATCATTTCCTGGAATTCTATTCATTTTTTCCCAATAAGGGAACAGATTAAAGGAATGAACTTTGGTCAGAGATGAAGTATGAGAAATTGGGCGGTTCAGGTTGACATTTCTGACATTGCCAGTGGTACTATGGGAAGTTCACCTACACGGCAGGGGTAAAACTGTACTTTACGTTAATTACGCTTTATGGTCCTTGTTGGGTTTTCCATGGGGCTTACAGGCCCATCTCCTTAGTATTTTTATTTTTTTTGTTGAACTAAGATTTCTTTGGATAGTAAAAAGAAAAAGAAAAAATAGCATGTTTGCATTTGTTTGAAAATCACTTCCCATGAAATCCTAAATTTTCAGGGTAAGGTAGGGGGTGAGAGAAATTAACTTCTTCTTTTTTCCAAAAAAAAAAAAAATTCTTGCAGAAATAATTTGATTATAATTTATTTTAAATATAAAATAACATAATTTAAATACACATAAAAATAAAAATAAAATAATCCTCATGAGTTAAGAGTTACTTAAGGTGTAAACCAAAAAAAAAAAAAAAAGCAAAGAACTTACTTAAGGTTGGACACAAAAAAAAAGGCCTTCATAAATAAATAAAGAGCTATACGAAGGAGTTGTTTAATTTTGATAAAAAAAATTATTTTTTTAGTCTTATATTAACAAAATAATTTTGATATCCATAATTATGTTTATTTAGAATTATCCAAAATTATGTGTGACAACAAATGTGCGAACGGTTTGCGAAATAAGGCCCTGGCATAAAACATGATATCATCATCTTCAACCAACCTCCTCCTCAAATGATCAATTTACTGGACTTTATTTGTTTTTTATTCTTTTGGTAATCAAGAGGGCTTCGGGCTCACAATTTACTTACTTTTTATAACTATAGAACTCTTGATTTTCTGTAATTTATATTTTTGGGTTTAGGCCTTCTCTAATAAGAAAAAAAAAAGAATTATCCATAGTAAGGTTGGCAAAACGGGCCAACCCGGCTCAACCCGCATTCAGCCCGAAAAAAAACGGGTCGAGTCGGGTTGGCTCGAAAAAAAAACGAGTCAGAATACCCAACACGGCTCGACCCGAGCCGGGTTAGGGTTGGCTCGGAAAAAAACTCACGGGTTGGCTCAAAAAAAGCTCACAAGTTAGCTCGAAATGGTGCCAGTGAGTTGGCTCGCGAGTCGGTTAGCTCGAAATATTGGCTCGCGAGTTGGCTCAAAAATTTTAATTTTTGTGGTTTGTTCTCCTGTATATAATTATCAACACTGCCAAAACTATTGATTGCCTAATGGATAATGGTGCAAAGACAGTAACTAATAAAACATAACCAATAAATTAAGAAATCCCAACATAGCAGTAGACAAACACATTACAAAATAAAAATTGTCCTATGAGTTCCCATGGCCAATATAGTACAATAACAAAATATAAACATCCAAAAGTACACCATCATCATTAGATCATCTATAAAGTTTCATGACCATTAGATCCCCGTGAAGAAGCTAATATATGGGAAATACCATCATCATCATCATCATCTACAAAACACAAACCATAAAATGTAAATAATCAATTAAGGTTACAATGACAAATGAAAAATGAAATTTTAATTGCATTGAAAATAAATAAATTACCATTGGCAACAAAACCAGCCAACCAATTGCGGGTATATACCAAAGCTTCAACATTCTTTGACAACAACTTATTTCTATATTTGTTAAGCACACGTGATCCAATGCTAAAAGCAGATTCAGATGCCACAGTGGTAATAGGAATGCTTAACAAGTCACGAGCCATTAATGATAGACTCGGAAAACGACAATTATTATCCTTCCACCATTGCAATGCATCTAAACTATTCCAGTTGTCAATAACCATTACAGGCAGCTCCTCTAAATAAACATCAAGTTCAGATTTTCCAGCATTTATTGCTTGGTGTTGAGTGTGCAAGGTCAATTTCTATCATATTTGAGAAGTGCAAAAACATAATAATTGAAGTAAGTAAGTACATGCATAAATAAAGGCGTGAAAATGATTATGATATAACATAATTAAAGCTTTTTGCTAAACATGAACTTACATCCAATATCTCATCATCCCATCCTCTCAATTCCTATCAACCATTGCATCTTGCCTTTTCATTCCCTTTTTCTCCTATTATTGTGAAATGTTTCCAGCAACGAGCTTGCCTTTTTTTAGGCTTTTTAAAATCATGTCCTTCTTCAACTTCTTCCAATTCATCACTTTCTGCATCAGCTTCATTGCCTTCTTCAAGCATCGCCAAGCTTTCCCTACATCAATGTTAAATATAAAATTACTATAGCGTGGAAAAGATAATTTAAACTAAAACAGATTTAAAAAAATAGAAGAATATTAACCTATTCGAATCAGCCATTTCAGAGACTTCTTTGATAAGTAAAGGGCAGGATCAATAATGATCTGTCTTCCTCTTTGGTTCCTAACCATATAAACATTAATATAAAGAAATTTCAGTCAACTGATATAGTAAACCAGAAAAAGCATGCATGTATGTGCAATGAAATTATATAATTTAGAGCATGTTGATTTCATTTCTCTCTTGTAAGTGACCTCTGCTGGTAAGTAACTAAACAACTAAAGCTCAATGTATCATTCAATAAAGGGAAAAAAGAAGCAAAGGTAATACAGTACAGAATACTGTTGGCAAATCATTACAGATTTAATGTGCCAAAACCGCATACTTCATTCTTGCACAAAGTCTCCAATGAAGCCAAGTCTCAGGCTTATCCATGCTAGGTACTTTCAGGTATGCTTTGCAGGTTCAACTTCAACCAAAATGTTGCAACACAATCCCAAACTTTCATCCAAACAGACATTGGTTTCTATTTCATGTGACTGGCTTACAGATTCTAATTAAAATAAATAAATATATAACGAATCAAATGGATACCATGGAAATGGATAGTTGTAATTTAATGTGCATCCCATTTTCAAATATCACTGTATAAGACAGCAGGAACCTCAAACAATGCATCCTTACTTCCTCATTCTATGTCAATCTTGATTTTCCTCAACATCTAATAACTATCTCTGCTGAAGGCATATAATTTTTGTATTAAAGTGCAGAATCATCTAATTGATTTATGTTATTTAATGCCTTACAACATAAAAACCCAACAAGGACTCATTTGGTATTTGTAATGATTTGTGATAAATTACCAATTGTATTTTATCCATACTCAGATTTAATTCTCTTAAAATTTTAAACTAATCTAACAATTAATAACCCAAAATTGGTGGGAGAGGGGGGAACAGACTTTGATCTTAAATCGAGTAATGGGAACACCCACCCATCAAGTTTCCTTATAAAACACTCACCCATCATGCACCGAAGCATACAAATCATCATTAACCCAAAAAGAGAACCAAGTGAATCAACTAATTGTGGACACCAAACTGATAAAAACAAAGAAGATGTGCGTTTGTGCTTGACACCCGTCCAACATAAGTTTAGACTAAGAAGAAAAAAGAGAATACCTGAAAACACAGAGGTGGCGGTCGGTGGAGAGGAGGAGCACGGTGGCTACTGGCTGCCAAGATCTGGAATAAAAAGGGGGGGGAATTAACAAAATGCAAGATCTGGAATACCTTAAAGTTTGTCGTCGCCGTCGGTGTGGGTGGGGTGGGGGACGGACGTGGGGTGACTGCTGGTAGTGGTGACTGGTGAGTTTGTGAGCGGTGACAGTGAGTGAGAGTGTCTTAGGACTGAGTGTGAGTGTGATCGTGAGTAACTTTTTTTATTGTATTTTATTTATAAAAAAAGTAACCCGCGAGCTGGCTCGTTTTAGCTCTGGTTGGCTCGGGTCGGGCTGAATCGAGCTGGCAGCTCATTTTTACCAACTCAACCCGACTCGTTTTGTGCGGGTTACGAGCCAACCCGACGGGTTGGCTCATTTTTGCCACCCCTAATCCATAGGGTAATTATTAAAAAATAAAATTAATGGCACTTTTTAAATTTCAAATTAGTTATTCCCCTTATCTCCTATGCTTTCAAATGTCAATCTAACTCACTTAGGGTTTCCACTTTTCAATTTAATTTCATTATTCTTAAGTTTAAATGTTTAATCGTATTTTATTTTTTTTGTGATTGATATGTCTACGTGTGAATAGCAAATGATACTGATCAGGATAAAATATGATAGGCTCATTAAAGGGCCAAATACAGAGAACGAGGCTCAAACTCACAAAGCCCATAATGAGGCGCGATGGCTTTCAACACGCATAACTGAGCGCGATGCCACCATCGGACATAAAACCACACTTTAACATAACTTCGGAGACAAGGAAGCGATCACAGGAACTAATAAAGGCCCACTGCGCCATTGAACAACTAAACAGAGGATAGCACCAGCTTGCCACCACTCTACCAGGATAACCTGACATAAAGAGATAAGGCTATAGAGGCACCAGTTGAACCTGCAACCCTTGAACAGCCAATCAAAGGCCTTACCGTCTTCCTAAGGCGGCATCAGAACTACTTTATAAACAGATGGTACATGCCCAGGTATGATCATCTAATTCACAACAAGAATACATATAACACCTGACATTGATACTGACTTGAGCGTTGGAGTGTCATTGCAGGTACCTTCAGTCGGGATCATCGCGCTAAAGGAGAACCAAAGTCCTCCCATCAACATCAACAACCCCCAGCCCAGAAAATAGACAGCCCAACTCAAGGACTTTTAGCTTCGACCGTGTGTGATTTGACCCGATACACTTTGATTGATTTGGTTCGATACACTTTGGCCAGCCCATATTATATTGGTCTTATCAGATACACTTAGATGGTGTTTGGTTGGGTGGATTTTGAAATAACCCCATGTAAATGAAGTTGGCATTCCTCAAAGCATGTGTTTGGTTGAGAGTGAATTGGGTGAATACCCAGGCAAGGTTGATGCCTACCATTCTCATTTTTGTGCCATTTTCCTATGCTTCCACACTGTTTAGAATCCATTTTAGAAGGTGGCATTTTAAAGAAACTCAGCTAAACCACGTAGGGCCCACAACATATGAGACCACAATACCCTCTGATATTATATGTCTGTGGGCTTTGCCGTCAACCAAGGAAACAATCTCTTGTTGGGGTATCTTCCCATTTAAGAGAACCTTTGCTTAAAAAAATGGACTCTCTCTTTCCTCTCTCTCTCTCACACACACACACACACACATTCAGCTTCTGCCTTGTTTGCTGTCAAGATTCGGTCATACTCTGTAGTATTTAACTTTGCTCGTCTAGAAACCTTTCTTTTCTCTCTTATTAAAGCCAAGAAACTTGGTTACATTTCAGTGTGAGTTGGTCCTCACAAGTGGGGCCTCTTCTCTTTACTTTTCTGGGAAATTTTCATACAACTCTCAGGCTAACTATGACTTATTGAATTTAGCAATCAGCTATTGAGTAGTGATGATGGGCGTGAACCAAGGGCCCGAGCGTTGAACTGAGAAGCAGAAGCAGAGGAGACTTTGGTGATGGGGTGGTGCTTTTGTTTTAAAAGAAGGATATTTTCGTAATTGCTACTTATTTTCCCATCTATATTTTATCTCAAACCAAACATAGACTTTATAAATCTTACCTAATTTGTCCGGTAAATTTTTTTCTAACCAAACAACTTTTTTTACATTTTCCTACCAAACTTATTTTCCAACCATTTCTCTATCAATTATATTTTCCTAATATTCAAAAAATTTCTCCTCAACCAAACGCCACCTTAGAGATTTTACATTTGGTCGCTACTCAAAAAAAAAAACATCATTTCGCTTTAATTTTTTTTTGTTCCAATCGATCGAGTTAACAAAAACCAACTAAGTCTTTGACAAAAATTGACAAAGTCAAACCGGTTCTTTCTAGATCAACCCGACCGAGCGTCGCACAACTCTTACTAAGAGAGTGACACCTGAATCGAAAAAGAAAATTTCTCTTTCCTCTTTCTTCTCTTTAATCTTTTTTCTTTCTCTGTGCTCTGTCTAACTCGTGCTTCGAGAGCACAAAATACTCTCTCCTTCGATAGAAACATGAATTTACTTTTGACCCCTTATCCCACATTTTATGTTATATGATTTCTTTGGTGGATAATATGAATATATTGTATTTTCTTTGGACATAATAGCGCCACCTGTACTTGAACTCTGCTACAGCATCTATGCTTATAATAATTCCACTCTGTCCTCCACTTTCGTCGCATTGCCTGCAGATTCAGCAGTTGATAAGTTCACCAGGTAAAATCTGGAATTCAATCGCTTTTTTTTTTTTTTTCTCTATTTGTGATCTTGTACAATTCAATGCTCTTAGTTCCACTTCATCTTCTATTACAGTTTTTATCCTTAGAATCTTTTCTTCCTTTTTTCTTTACACACCCTCTTTTTCATTTTTTCTGTTCTAATTTCAAGTGTTATTTCCTCTTTAATATACTCTTTTCTTGATGTGTATTTTTAAAAAATGGTATAAATATTCGAGAAAGAAAGCATGTTGTTTGATGGCTATGCATGTCTTTTTTTTTGTCATCCATGAAAATGGCTTATTCACTCATGGATGTATTTTTTTGAAATGAAAATATGGAGAGTATTATTTTTTCATATTCTTAGCTAAACTAGGTTTGCTTTGTCTAGTTACTTACAAGTTATACGAGTTGACATAGTTTTGAATATGAGTTCTTATTCTTCCATTTATAGGTTATTATGACAATCACCTAGGCTTTCTTATCATAGGTCTCACAATTTATCTATCCTCAAGGTGTGAGCTTCGTGCAATTTTCACATTACTATAATTTAATGTAGATTATGACATTTCTACGTTACTCTTTTGCTATTTATAATTATAATATGGGCATGTATTATTTGGAGTTCCTTTCTTACACATTTTATCACCTTTTCAGGTATTTTATATCTGAAATCTTAGGAGGGAACATGGTATAGAACATAAAATAAGTTGTGGCCTTCCTAGTGGTCCTTGTTCCATCGTCAAGCGATTGAGGTTGACAAACACCAATTTAAAGGAGAATATGGGCAAGCTTGACAATGATGATACTGTTTCTGGAACTAGCAGAAGAAACCAATCAGGAAATACCAACATGAAGAAAGGATTCTTTCAATCAGTAAGTGTTAAGGTTCAAAATAAACTTGCGCAATTGGTAATTTGAGTGCTGCTATTTTTTTTACTGCTTTACAGCTTTTGGTTCATGTTCTTGCTCAGTTGGATCTTAATCTTGGAGCTTTTAATTCTAACTTGGCTAAAATAGCAAAATACCATAATGTTACTCTTTCCAGTCGGGACTCACATTTATTTCTAAGTTGTAATAGCTGATAGTTTTCTTTATCATGCTATTACTATTTTCTTCAGGGCTACAACTATTGGTGCAGAACTCTAATAATTATTTAGAAAATGAGTCTGAGTCTGACGCTTTTTCGTTATAGTAGGGTGGACATGCATCATATTTCATTTGTAACCTATTACTGGGTAGAAGTACTAGTTAATTGAATATTTATAATGTTACATCTATTTTAGTTGATATTTAACTTAAACGATTATTATATTTGATTTCGAATTTTCTAAACATTTTAGGATTTTAGGGTGATTTGGCTTTAGCAATGAGTGGCAAGTCATAGACTCATGCAAGTTACCTACCACTATATCTTGGTTGCTTTGGGAAATTGCTACTTGCTAGTAAAGATTGGGTAACCTGCTATTTTCCATCTGTTTAACAACTGAAGCTAAATCTTACTCTTGATTTTTAACTGAGTAATGTTTCCTTTTGTTATATAGAACATGTCTAAATCTAGTCTACATGAGGTTCAAGAATAGTTCAGCTCAAAATTGATTATCTTTTGGTATATAATTTGATAGGGGAATCATTTTGATGGCAAGAATCAAGTGAATGAAAGTGCTAAGGCTACAAATTCAGGTTGTCAAACCAGCTGCACTTTCTGCATGGGTAAAAACAGTTGCCCAATTGTACGATCAAGAACAAAATTAATGAATGTTCTGATTGAGAGAGGAAAACCTCAGGAAGCAAATTCCATTTTTGAAAATCTGATTGAAGGAGGGCACCAACCATCTTTAGTAACATACACAACCCTGTTAAATGCCTTGACCATTCAGAAGTGCTTCAAGCCTATACATTCTATTGTCTCACAGGTGGAAGAAAAACAAATGAAGCCTGACTCAATATTTTTTAATGCTCTCATAAATGCATTTGCTGAATCTGGGAACATGGAGGATGCCAAGAAAGCTGTCCAGAAAATGAAAGAAAGTGGACTAAGACCTAGTACTAGCACTTATAACACTTTGATAAAAGGGTATGGGATTGCAGGTAAGCCTGATGAGTCAATGAAGTTGCTAGAACTGATGTCAACGAAGGGAAATGTGACACCCAATCTCAAGACATATAATATACTTGTCAGAGCATGGTGTAAACTGGAGAACATTTCTGAGGCATGGAATGTGGTGTATAAGATGTCTGCTTCTGGAATGCAACCAGATGTTGTAACTTTCAACACTATAGCAACAGCTTATGCTCAGAATGGAGAGACTGCTCAGGCTGAAGCAATCATTTTGGAGATGCAGAAGAATGATTTGGAACCCAATGAGAGAACTTGCACCATCATCATAAATGGATATTGTAGAGAAGGTAAAATAAGGGAAGCCATGAGGTTCGTATACATGATGGAGGATCTTGGGTTGCAGCCTAATATTATTGTATTTAATTCCCTGGTTAATGGTTTTGTGGACATGATGGATAGAGATGGTGTTGATGAGGTAAGCTTGAACGTATGGTCTGAACTTTTTTTTTTCTCTTCTTAAACTTACTTGTTTTGGATCTGTTCAGGACAGAAAAGGCGGTTGATTAAAATTTGAGTCATTCAACATAGAATCAATCATGAACATCTTCAATTCATACTCTCTTGACATTCATTTTATAATTGATATACAGTAAAACAAAAGAAATGGTAATGGACAATTAGCAACTAGCAATGGTATATTTGAATATTGTAAAATGCAACTCTTTCTGTAGGACTCTTCTGGAATTTACCACTTGCATGCTTTTTGTCCATATTTCCAATGGATAAATATAGGAATCTTCCTTACATTGGTTCTTGATTAGATAGTTTTAGAATCATATGTGATTTTGTCATTTTTGCTTGTAATCTGCTATATGGTATAAGGAGTTGTAAGTTGTAACCTTCTAAAGGACAAGAAATAATTCGGATTTATTGCCATATGCGTCAGGTTTCTAAATCTTCTTGTTCCGAGTTAAGTGTTTGTCAAATTAGTATGCCAACTGTCATGCAAATGTCGAATAAATTTTAGGCTGAAAGAGAGGAAACAAAAAAATCAAGTAATCACTCCTTTAATTTGCTTGGCACAGTGGATAGCAGTCTTTTCAGTTTAATGTCTGATATGTATTCACTTAGCCTTTTAACTCATGGTGAATATCCTTATATAGGTTTTAAAGTTGATGGAAGAATATCAGATCCAACCAGATGTTGTAACATATAGTACTATAATGAATGCATGGAGCCAAGCTGGATTCTTGGAAAAATGCAAGGAAATCTACAATAAAATGTTGAAATCTGGTGTAAAGCCGGATGTGCATGCTTATAGCATTCTTGCTAAGGGTTATGTGAGAGCACAAGAAACAGAAAAAGCTGAAGAACTGTTGACTGCCATGATTGAATCAGGTGTCCACCCAAATGTTGTTATGTTTACAACTATTGTAAGCGGATGGTGCAGTGCTGGTAGAATGGCCAACGCTATTGGGGTTTTTGACAGGATGTGTGAACTTGGAATTTCTCCAAATTTGAAGACTTTTGAGACCCTAATTTGGGGATATGCAGAATCAAAACAGCCATGGAAAGCAGAAGGGATACTCCAACTAATGGAAGAGTTTCATGTTCAACCCAAGAAGTCCACAATGCTGCTTGTTGCAGAAGCTTGGTGTTTTGCTGGATTAACACAAGAGGCAAATACATTACTGAGTGCTGTAAAAGCCAAGCAGATGACCAATTCAACAGAGGAAGAGAGCAATATGCCAACTAAAAGCTCAGAGAAAATTTACCAAAAGCCACATAATAGTGCTCCTTTCTGTAGTCTTTTACAGATCCCATCTGTATGTACCACTGAGCAGAAAGGTTCAGCTTTAGCAGCTAGAAGAAATCGAAGGCTTATGAGAGATGCTGATTTGGAGTCTCCATTGCTCACTACAAAATTCAAGTGTCATTCTCATATTTGTAGATTTGGTGAAGGATTTTCCATTATGAGCACAAAACAGTTTCAAGGACAGCATGGTACATACCAACTTGCAAATTCATGTACAGCAGTATTCTTAAACTAAGGGTGTTGGGAAGGTGAACTGCGCGGTTGCGGAATATCTTTTTGATGTAATTACAATCTTATGCTCCACTCAAGTTATTTTTTTGCTAACAAAATTACTCCTTAGATTTTCATGTAATCAAAAATCAAAAGGCTTGTTTTTTATTCTGCAGCTCACATTCTCTCAAGGTGCTATGAGAAACAGGCGGCACCTGTCCCATCACTCACACTTGTACCCGTTTGCAATAGTAATACTTAAATGTAAAATAATATGTTGCGTATTAATCTGTGTCAGAGAGTTACAATATATAGAGACCCTAATGGGCTTAAGTGAAAGGCCCAAACCTAATGCAATCCTAATACAATCAGAATATTAACGTATAGGACTGAATCTAATCATATATAATCATATCTAATATTCTAACACTCCCCCTCAAGCTGGTGCGTATATATTATGAGCACCAAGCTTGTTACAAATGTATTCAACCCGAGGACCTCTAAGAGCTTTAGTGAAAACATCCGCTAGTTGATTAGACGAGTTGACAAAAGCTGTCTTGATTTCTCCTGACTGAATCTTTTCCCGAGTGATGTGACAATCAATCTCTATATGTTTGGTCCTCTCATGAAAAACAGGATTAGAGGATATATGTAGCGCAGCTTGATTATCACAGATGAGTGTCATGGGTTGTTTCTGTTCACAAAGATGAAGCTCCTGAATCAACTGCTTTAACCAGATCAACTCACAGGTAGTATTTGCCATTGCACGATACTCAGCTTCTGCACTAGATCGGGAAACAACAGGTTGTTTCTTGCTTTTCCATGAGATTAAGTTTCCTCCGAAGAAGACACAATAACCAGAAGTAGAGCGTCTGTCCGAGGGTGATCCTGCCCAATCGGCATCTGAGTAACCACAAATTTCTGTATTTCCCTGATCCGAATACAACAAACCTTTTCCTGGTGCTCCTTTGATGTATCGGAGGATCCTCACAGCAGCATCCCAATGTGAATCACAAGGGGAATCAAGGAATTGACTAGCCGTACTAACAACGAAAGAAATATCTGGCCTAGTCACAGTAAGATAATTGAGCTTCCCAATCAGCCTTCGATAACGTCCAGGATCAGATAACGGCTCCCCCTGTCTGGGCAATAACTTAACATTAGGATCCATGGGTGTATCATCTGGTTTACACCCCAACATACCAGTCTCCTCTAGGATATCCAATGCATACTTCCTTTGACAGATAGAAATGCCCTGTCTAGATTGCGCCACCTCAATTCCCAAGAAGTAACGCAGCTTCCCAAGGTCCTTTGTTTGAAATGCACTGAATAAATGTTGTTTTAACTGATGGATTCCGTCTTGATCACTTCCGGTGAGGATGATGTCATCAACATAGACTAACAAATAGATGCACTTGTTAGAAGATGTAATCCTATAGAATACATAATGGTCAACTTTATTGCGAATTAGGCCAAACGCCTGTACAGCAGAACTGAAGCGACTGAACCATACTCGAGGAGACTGCTTGAGACCATATAAGGATTTTCGAAGACGACATACCTTCCCAGACTCCCCCTGAGCAACAAAACCAGGTGGTTGCTCCATGTAAACTACTTCTTGTAAATCACCATGAAGAAAGACATTTTTGATGTCAAGTTGAAGGAGTGGCCAGTGACGAACAGCAGCAAGGGCAAGAAATAGGCGGACAGACGCCATCTTAGCGACTGGAGAGAATGTATCGCTATAATCAAGGCCAAAGATTTGAGTAAAACCCTTGGCAACTAGGCGTGCCTTGAGACGATCAACATGGCCATCAGGTCCAACTTTCACAGTAAACACCCAGCGACAACCAACTATAGACTTCTCTGGAGGAGCAGAAACAAGGTCCCAAGTGCCATTGGTATGAAGTGCGGTCATCTCATCAAGCATCGCTTGGCGCCATCCTGGATGGGAAAGTGCTTCACCGGTGGTCTTAGCAATAGAAACAGAAGAAAGACTAGAAACAAAGGTGAAATAAGGAGGAGAAAGGTGATCATAGCTCAAGAAGGTATAAAGAGGATAAGGGTTACGAGTAGTACGTGTACCTTTTCTTTGAGCAATGGAAAGAGCCTCTGGTGAAGGATTCGGAGGGGAAGAATCAACTGCAGAGGGCAATGAGTCAGCAGGGGTCGAGTCGACTGGAGGTACTGTCTTACGACGCTGATAAGTGAGAAGTGGACGGTCCTCAGGTACTGGAGCAATAGGTGATTGCTTATCTGGAGTAGAAGCACCTGCATCTGGCAAAGACAAGTCAAGAAAAGGAACAGGAAGATCATGATCAACCTGTGACAATGGAGATGGGATAGAATTAAAGGGTTGTTGATCAAGAAAGATGACATCCGCGAAAACTAAGTAACGCTTGAGGTCAGGAGAGTAACATCGATAACCTTTTTGAAGACGAGAATAACCAAGAAAAATGCATTTAAAGGCTTTGGATGTTAACTTATCCTTACCAGGAGTGAGATCATGAACAAAACAGGTACAACCAAAAATATGTGGGGACAGAGGAAAGAGAGGAACATCTGGAAACAATAAGTTATGAGGAATATCATTATTAAGCACAGATGAAGGCATGCGGTTGATGAGAAAGCAAGAAGCAAGGACTGCATCAGCCCAGAAGTGAAGAGGAACATGCATGTGAATAAGAAGAGTCCTGGCAATCTCAATGAGATGTTTATTCTTACGTTCAGCTACTCCATTTTGTTGTGGAGTGTGAGGACAAGTGGTTTGGTTTAAAGTACCCTGTGTGGCTAAGAAATGAGAAAAGTCAACAGAAACATACTCCTTAGCATTATCACTACGTAAAATACGAATAGAAGCACCAAATTGAGTATGAATTTCAGCAGAAAACTTTTGATAAATAGAAAACAACTCAGAACGGTTTTTCATTAAATAAATCCAAGTACAACGGGAGAAATCATCAATAAAGGTGACAAAATACCGAAAACCTAAAATAGACACACTACGACTAGGACCCCAAACATCTGAATGAATAATTGAAAAAGGAGCATAAGCTCGTTTATTGACTCGATTAGCAAAGGAGGAGCGTATGTGCTTTCCTTGCTGACATGACTGACAATCTAAAGTTTGAAGACCGGATAAAAGAGGAACCATCTTCTGCAATTTCGCAAGACTAGGATGCCCGAGACGACTGTGGATGAGCTGTGGAGATTCTGTGAGAGAACAAGCAACTGAAGGACTCGGCACATCAAGGTAGAACAGACCCCGTGACTCACGGCCCACTCCAATCATCTTCCCTGTACCCGGGTCCTGCATAGAAACATAATGGTTTGAGAATGTGACAATACAATTAAGAGAATTGATCAATTTACTAACCGATATTAAATTATAAGGGATGTGAGGAATGTAATAGACAGATGTCAAGGTCAATGAGGAGGTTGGACAGATTTGTCCAATCCCATGAACGGGGACCTTAGTTCCATCAGCAAGAGTAAAAGAGGGTAAATTATCAGAATATGTAAGGGAAGAAAAGAGTTCCTTATTACCATAGAGGTGATCAGTAGCACCTGAGTCAAATATCCAAGGACCAAGTGATGCAGAATGAGAAACACAAGCAACAGGATTACCAGTTTCTGAAGAGAGGCCTGAGATTGAGGATAGGACTTCTTGAGAAGGGCCTGGAATGCTGCATATTCTTCAGAGGAGAGAGACTGAACCATTTGAAGCAGTATCCGATTGAGCTACATTAGCAGCAAAAGAAGGTCGCATGTGAGGATACTTTGTGTAGCAGCGTTCCTCATAATGACCAAGTTGCTGACAGAAATGACAACGAGGTCGCTGACCACGTCCGACTGGACCTCCTGGGCCACGACCTCCTGGGCCTCTACCACGACCACGTCCACCTCCAATATGCCCGCGAAAATCAGTACGGGAAACTAGAGCAGTAGAATCAACAGCAGAAGACGATGCAAGAGCAGATTTCTTATTCAATTTCAGAAGACGCTGATACGTCATTGATAGATCAGGCTCCCCACTAGTCAAGATAGTATCACGAACATTATCATATTCTTCGGGAAGGCCAGAAAGTGTGGCAACCATAAAGAGACGTTCCACCTGTTTTCGATATGCAGTAGCATCAGTAGGGTAAGGCAGCATATCCAAATATGCCTGCATCAAAGAGCGACTCTTGCCAATATATGTCTCCATCTGAATGTCGGATGATTTGCTCAATTCCATAAACTGAAAGATGATGAAATAGAGCTGCTGAACATCATTAGTGTAGAGGTTTTTTGCTTCCTCCCACACTTCAGTGCAAGTTTGAAATGAATAAAAGATATCCAAGACAATCGGATCAATGGATTGCCAGAGGATACTCAGAAGCTGGTTGTCAATCTTCTCCCAATCAGACTTGTCCTCCTTAGGTACATCAGTAGACTTAGTCGTGAGATGGTTCCCATATCCTTGTCCAAAGAACCAAACTCGAACAGAGGTGGTCCAGTTCTTGTAATTAACAGATCCCTTCAATTTTGAAGAGGTAATGGACCCAATATTGGTGAGATGATATTGGGAGAATTTCTCACAGGAGGAGATGGAGAATTGACCTTCGAATGAATAGGAGAGTTTGCTGCCATAGTATTAAATCACAAAGATATAAACTGAATAAAGAGAAACGAACCTGATCACCAATCAAGAAGAGGTGCGCACAAAAAGTCAGACCCACAAAGAACCAACCACAGATCCAGAAAGAGGAGGAGAAGACCGGCCGAAAAAAGCCGCCGGAATAGTGGTCACGCGCCGGCAGAAGGTGGCGCGTGAAGCCCACGCGCAGAGAAGACAGGTGGCGCGTGACAGCGCGTGGGAGATGCGTTGCTGACCGGACCACCACAGACCTGGTCGCCGGGAAGAGAGGGTCCTGATCGCGTGAAGTTTGGTCAGAAAAGTCGCCGGAAAAAGTCTCCGGTGGCCTGAACAGTGATTCTGACGGCGGGCGGTGGTTCCGGTGGCCGTCGGAGGTGCTGACGCGTTTGAAAAAATCACTCAGAGGCTGTTTACAGCCCTAGAAGGCTTACCGGAAGGACGCACGGCAAGAAAGAGGACTCCTAAGCAGTGGGCTTAGGTTTTAAAGCAAAAACAAGGTTTCTAAGATGAAGCGAGGGTCCCCAGAACGAAAGAGCTCTGGTACCAACTTAAATGTAAAATAATATGTTGTGTATTGATCTGTGTCAGAGAGTTACAATATATAGAGACCCTAATGGGCTTAAGTGAAAGGCCCAAACCTAATGCAATCCTAATACAATCAGAATATTAACGGATAGGACTGAATCTAATCATATCTAATATTCTAACAGTAATAATGCATCAGGTCATTAATGTTGGAATTTATGAACAATAATCCATTGGTTATGAATAAGAAGTGGGTTAATAAAGAAAAGAGCAAAGGGAAGATGAAAAGGTGTGTGGGTATTAACAAGTCCTACATTGGACAAATAGTAGGAACTGAGAGAGTTTATAAGCTCCCACCTCACTTTCTTAGATTGGCCCTTTGGGTCATTACACATTTTGTGGAGGGGGAGGAGCTAGGTGGGCTGTGGTCCACCACACGCGCACCGCTGTCATCCGGATCGGATCAGTGTAATAAAATAATTTTTTATTAAATAATTTTTTAATATTTTATCCAAAAATTTGTCCGTTGCTTCCCCCCAAATTTCAAACCCAAACGTTTCTATCCGCCGATTTTTTGAGCAATTTTGAACCGAACAAGTTCTTCCCTTTCGCGAACCGGTCACCGGTTGTGTTTGCTCGCCGAACCGGTCATCGGTTGTACCTGTTCGTCGGAACGGTCACCTGTCGTACCCGTTTGCCGTCGTCAGACACGGCGGTTCGCCGCCGGCGACTGTTCATCGTGATCGGTCAGTGTTTATAAATAGACACTGACACCTTCAGAAATTTATCGATTTTTTCTGCACTGAAACTCTGCCGGAATTTTTCTTCTCTTCCGGTTTGCATACTTTTGTTCATCCTCCGGTGTACTTTCCTCTGCCAATTGTTGTGTTCGTTTGGGCTGTTGATTGGTAGTGCCACCATTCTTCAGACGAAATCTGTTTTATCCTGGGAGACAAGTGTCCATCAACCTTTGACATCTGTGAGGGGGGGCAAATTGTCTTAAGGAGACACGTTCTATAGGCTCAGATTTTAATTCCTCTTCTGACATATCATTCTGTCTGTTTCATCATTCTGACTGTTTCATCGTTTGACAAGTAAGTCTGTTCTTATTTTATTTATAATTGCACAGTGATAATTCTGATCATTTACCTCATCTGCTCTATACATGGGTTCAAATCTATTAGTGATATAATATCACTCACTCTCTTCAATAACAATTAAATCAATCCAGTGCAAGATAATAATCTTTTAGGCTTGAATCGTCGAATTTATATTAGTTCTTATCTTAAAAAAAAAAGAGACAACAAGGATCAATTTCTAAAACTAATATCACCATAGAAGAAAACTATTTTTAAAGTTTAAGTTCTTGAGGAAAAATACACAAAATAGTTATAAATTGTTAATATATTTTTGCTAAAGGACAGGTGGCACAAGTTAAGTGGGTTGTTATGGCGTTAGATCTTTTTTTTTTTGTTGGCAGCTCTGAATTTTGTTATATATGGAAGGACAAAAATTATTACACACTTTGCTAGTCATCATCCTTCCATCCATAGTATAAGACTATAAGTAATGCTATTTGCACAACAGCCAACAACACATCTTATATTCAAGTACACATTGTGAACCATAATTTAGTTAGTACATTATTTTCCCCCCCTAAGAATGTTATACTTATTACCATTTACATTAATCACTCTTATTATCTATTTGGTTATTGTTAGATTAATTTAAAATTAACAGCAATCAATTTTTCTTCTTTTTCAATTATTGATTTTAATTTGATCCAATGATAACCAACTAGGTAGTAAAAGTGATAAAACTAAGGGATTTGTTAATCTCATGTAGCATAAGATGGCTTATCACATGTTATAGAAACATTATGTAGGTCCCATCATTTTTAAAAAAATCAAAAAAAAAAAAAAACAATGGCACGACTTTTAATGTTTCACTAGCACAAGAGAGTTCTCTTCTTCAATATAAGATAATTTAAATCCTAAAACTAAAATGATGGTAAGTATAATCATACCCATATACAATAGCATAACTATGAGAATAAAATTTATGCAAGACATTCAGCAAATCTTCTGGCTTTTAAACAGAATCCTTCTCAATTCCAAGGTATCCGTAACAGGGAAGCCTGTAGTAAGCGTTCTTGATCAGACAATACCCTCACAATTGACATATCTTGTTATTTAGAAGCTCAATATCAACAGTAAATGAACAACAAAACATATGATACTTCTGATTTGTATCATTGGTTGAGCAAAGTTACTTTTGTAGTTCACCCTGTTTTATTGTGCAAAGTGGATTATCGGTCTGAAGGATCAGAAGGAACTTTACTAAGGAGCCAAACCAAAAGCACACCAACAAGAGCACCAGAAAGATGTGCAATATGATTGACACTCTGCAATGGGTAGCCTCCGCGAAAGGTTCCTGATAATGATGTTGAAGCTTGGGCTGCTTCCATGACCTATAATACTCACAAAAGAACAGATCAATTATAGAGGACGTTGATACTACTAGTTGTTCAAGCATACTCCAAATAACAAGCAAGAAGTCCAAAAGATGAGCGTTTGTATCTTTTCAAACAAATAAATCATTAACTGATCAATAAAAACATGAAGACATCATGATACATAGGAAACCATCTATGTAGCACGACAAAATGATCCTGGACGCATATAGCAAAAGCAAAAAACACAATGTTAGGTTCCAATATCTCTGTAAAAGATACAAATTCGAAAGGTCTTGATGGTTTCATGCAATAATGACTTGGCCAATATGTTTATTATTATAGTAAATTTTGCAAAATAAGTTCCATAACCATTTAGAATTACTTTACACGATAAAAAACAAAACATTGTTGCTCAAGCTCACCTTCTCTATAACAAACTGACCCAATATAAGCACTTCAAGGATCTTCCTCCAATCCCAGGACATCTACATCAAGTTAAAGCAAAACTGTAAGAACTGGAAGAATAACTAGAAAGAAATAAACAACGAAATTTAGAATACAACTCCAGGTACCTTTACAAGGACACTAATAGTAAATAACCCAAAAACAGCACCAGAAGCTCCAACAGAAACTGTATTTCTTGGTAAAACCAACCACGATACAAGGTTTGCTCCAACACCAGTAAGAATGTAAGAAAGCCACAAAGCAAAGTTTCCTTCCTCTTCTTCAACAAGTTTTCCTGTTGCGAAAACAGGGAAAACAATCAAGCATCAATCCCACAACAACTCACTTACCAGAAAGAAGAGTGATCAGGTTACAGCCTTACCAAAAATGTACAAGAAAAAAAGGTTGCTAGAAAGATGCTTCCTGAACAAGTCAAGGCATTAGTCAGATTGTAAAATGAGATAATGAGAAAGTAATTCACAAACTAAAACCACTCTCTATTAAACCCGATTAGAGAGGGTGGGGTGAGAACAATCCTTGTATGTAACCTTACCCTTGTATAATTGCAAAGACGTGACCTTTTAGTCCGAAAGGAACTACTTTATCACTGTTCCAGGCTCGCCCTCTTAAAGTAATTCACAAACCAAGAGCCAAAAAAATAGAAAATAAAAAAGGCTTCCAACCTTCCACTAGAGGATCCAGTGCAATGCAAATTCTCAACCACCCCCCCCCCCCCCCCCCACACACACACACACACACAAAAAGTAACAAAACAACATAAAATAGAAATCAGAGAGGAGGGGATTCACCAATTAGCATGACAAAATGTTGCTGTGACAAACTGGTACCAAGCAGGCCAGTTGTGGTACAAGTACAAAGCCTTGATGCCATTCACCTAGCATAAACGATATAAAACCATGCATTATTAGCATTAATTTGATTTGATGTCATGCAAGAAATTCTGACACAGGGACAAAACAGGGAAAAGATAGATTCTATGAGTTCATATTACTAAATAGATGAAGGTGAGCCAGAAGCTAATGATTCGAATGACCCAGTAGTAATAAATAGATAAAATAACAAAGATACCTGAAAAAAATGGTCAGCAACGAATATTCCAATGTTAAGGAGTATGACCCAGAATATCCCATTAACTCGTTTCTCGGGTTTCCTCTTTTGCTCTGGTTTCCCAAGTTCCAGCTGCGATATCATATCTAACCAAGCACTGAATTCACATCACAGAGTTCACGAAACTAAAGGGGTGAAATAACGCAATATATACAAACAACAACAGAGGATGTTTGTTGAAGTTTAAACTCTTGCACGACAGGTGTTTGGTAAAATGCCCAGGCCAGTTAAATGTACGTACCTGATTTGTTGATGTTGCATGATGTGCGAGTGCGGGAACGAAGCACGAATAGTGGATCATGATAAGGCAGGGATTTGTAACTGAGAGTGGGTTTGGAGTTGAAGGTGTGAATGTGAATGAGTTTGCATGACTTTAATTTGAATGGCGTAAGTGCAGCCACTGCAAGTGCAGCCATTCTTTGTTTCGGAGCAGAAAGAAAATGCTTAACAACATCTTATATTTTAATGGAATACGATTCTTTAGCAAGTTTGCTATTGTGTCACTTTCTACTTCACTTTTAATTTTATGTTCACGCTAGGAAATATTTAAAACCTTTCATTCTTCGGTAAAAATGTAAAAATATTAAATAAAATCGAATTTGCAAATAAATTCAATGGAAAAAATATGTGAAGAATTGTTTGTGGCAGACAATTCATTTAATGTTCCTCTATTTTCTACATTGGAATTTCTAAATTAATAATATCTCACTGTTTTATGAAATCTTGATTTTCAATTTTGAATTTGAGTTTTTAATTTTAAATTTTGAATTTGAATTTTGAATTTAAAATGGTGGAAAAACACTTGAACAATTGTTGGTGGCAGACAGCTCATTTATTATTCCATTACTTTCTACATGGGTAGTTGTTAATCATATCAATGCTGCATAAAAAAAAAACTATTTTGTTAAAAAATAATCATTAGAAAACGAAAAATATTTTGTAAAAAAACACAAATATTTTGTGTATAAATAGGATATGTGTTATTGGGTTTTTTTTTTCATTTGGTCATTAGTTTCTATGCACATATTTCTTCTATTGTCTATCTATTTATCTTCTTCATATTCTCAGGTTGTTGTTCTATTACATGAACATATAATATTTTGTTTTTTTTTTTTGCAGCTTTGTTGTAGAACAAAGTTGACAGGATGATTTGGAATCACTGAGATATGTTTTTTATACTTCCTCAGAGGAAGGTATGCCATTCTTCTCTGTCTACTTTCCTTCTACGCGTATTTTTGTCCATAACCTAATATCATGAAAGAGATGATATAATAAAATTTCTTAACTTTTAAATGACTAAATATTTATCTTTAGCCTTTTTTGGAAATATCTAAAAGCTGCAACAAAGAAACAAAAGTATACAACGAACAATGGCATAATGCGTGGATCATCTCAGCCTTTTGGCAAGTTTTGTCATTTTCTCTTGTGTGTGTGTTATCTGTGCTCTTTGGACATCATCTCAAAATTCAACACGGTAAATTTTTTTTTTCTTTATCTTAAAGTCCTTCTATTTTATATCTTGATTGTCTGCAAAAGCAAGACGAGCTTTCCCTTGTATTCTTCATGTACATACATAATTTGTTTTGCATTGTTGTTGCTGTTCTTTAATTTATGTCTGTTCTTGACAGATATGCTTACCGTGATGATGAGAATGATGTGTTGGATAGGGATGATACTACTTTGACCCTTATAAAATCATCTTTTATTTCTTTAAAGGATGTTCGAAGTGTGCCAGATATTAGACCAGTGCAACTCAAGCAACGTAGTTTCAAAGCAATTTTTCTTTTAGGAATTTTTTGCTTTAATTATCACTATTAATTAATCCTTCTACTTTTTTTCATTTTGTTTGTGCTTATTGTATAAGTGCCTAGCCAAATTCAATGTAATTAGGCATTGGAAAGCTCTGTTTTGCATGCTCATATTGAAAATTGGTGGCTCTTCAATTCCAAAATATAATACAGGCATATGAAGCTTTTTATCTTCTAATTAAATTTATCATAATTAGTCTTGAAACTAACATCCTTTAAAAAAAAGTGAATATTCCAAAAAATAAAAATTAAAAAAAATTTCGAAAATATAATACAAAAAGAGAAAAGAATTTCGTACAAGTAATTTTTAAAAAATATTTAACAGAAACATTTTTAAAAATATTTAATCAATTTTTTATGATTAAAATCTATTACTTTTTGTTTACCAAAAAAAAAATCTATTACTTTTTTAAAATTCGAAATTCAAACTTCATATATGTGGGAAAATAGTTCTGCATTAATTGGTACCAAATATTTTATTTATATCTCACTACTTTTTTTAAATTCAAATTTTAAATTGATATAGGTGAAAAAAGAGTTAAACATTTTTTAGTGGTGACAACTGTATTAATATCTCACTAATTTTTAAATGGTAATTGTTAAGTATATTTATAATATTTATTGGACCCAATGGGTGCAGCTCAGTTGGTAACTTGGCGCTGAGTTAGTAGGGTTGGATATGTGTTCGATTCCCGCTGAATGCATTCTTGGGGAGGGGGCTGAACCTTTAGCCATCACTGCTCCCCCGCACTCCGGATTAGTCCCATAGCCGGCTCAAAGAGTCGAAGCTCGTGGGGATACCAGAGGGAGCCAACTCGTCTCAAAGAGATAATTAGGGTTGGGTAATTCCAAAAAAAAAAAATATTTATTGGAAAATATATTATTATGGTTAGGTTTAATAATTTTTATTATTATGTTATTTGGACTTAATTTATTCGGTCAATTAAAAACGATCATATATTATTTACAAAGTCAATACGTTTTAATAATAATATTAAAATTTCACCTATATATAATAATAAATTTAAATTTAATGTTTAGCATTTATTCAACATTTAATGTTTCTAAAGTACAAAAATATATATATATATATATATAATAAATTTAAATTTAATACAAAATTATAGATCAAATGAAAAAAAATTAAAATTATAAAAATATATGTATAGTTGTTAAAAAATAAAATAAATATCAAATTTAAATGCAAAAAACAAATAAGGAATGACATTTTTATACTATAAAAGAAAATAAATAAAAAATTTAACTTAAAACAAAAAGACTAAATATCATTTTTGGTCCCTGACTATATCCAGGAAGCCCTTATTAGTCCCTAGCAATAAAAAAGAGACATAATGGTCCCTCAAATTACAAAAAACAGGCCACGTTACTCCTTTTGTTAAATCCCATCCAACGGCCCAACTAACGGTGCACACTTGGCACGTTAGTTTGCTGACGCGAATTTGAGTGGTCCACCGTGGATGTTGAGACGACGACGTTTTGATAATCAGTTGCATCTCCATGGTCGTGTGGACACCTGACCTAGCATCAGTTGCATCTCCAACGCCCTTATTGGTCCCTGACAAAAACTCTGGCGCCTTTTTTGGTCCCTAACTAAAGAAAAACAGGGACATGAAATCAGAGAATTTCTATGCAATCAAATTTGTTAAACCATAATACATGGATGTATAACAATATGAAGTTCAGCTTTCTAAATCATGAAATCATTGTATGACATTTATTGTTTCAAACGAAAGTGCAATAATTCAAACAACATATAAGCTAAAACTTTGTTGTATATCAAACATAGAAGTATGTCCCTAGCTTAAAAGATAAGACAACTTAAACAATGCATACAACATTGTTGCTCTACTTTAGACTTCAGAGAAATAGAACTGACTAACATGTATATCTTCTTTATTCACTTTTACTGCTATATTTTTACCAACAAACACATTACTTGTCAATGATGAGAGTCTGCAGCAGTGCATATACTAAATAACATAGCTAGTTACAATTTTGCAAAAATATCCCCTTCTTTCTTCAACAGAAAAATTTAAAACTATGAGTAGGATAGATAAAGGAGGATATAAAAATGAAACTTACAGAAAGCCAAGAACAAAAAAATAATACCATGAAACCCTCAATCTCTCAATCAATTCATAGTAAAAAGAACCTTCAAGAGCTAAGCCAAGTGAACACTTTCATTTTCACCCCAAATTAAATGTAAATTTGGAATTTAATTTATAAAAATACTAGCATCCTCTTAAACTTACATACACCCAGATCCAGAAAGCATAGAGCATAGCAACAAAGTTTTGCGTTTATTATTACCACTAACCTCTAATATCAATCAATCATAAAAAGATCCTCAAGACTAGAAGGACAAAGCAAAACCCCTCCTCCCCAGTCCTCACGAATATCAAGCAGTGCATACCATTGCATATATCCAACGGTGAACCTTTTACCAAAATTGTCTTTACTTCAATAGTTTCATAATTGGCATACAATAAATAAACAAGAGGAAAGACCCAAGAAAAAGTGAAAGAGGTTTATAAATTAAATTAACCAAAGCAAAATTGAGAACTAGATTACCAATGTCTTTACTTCAAAACACGTTCTTGGGACAACATAAAAAGCTGCCACCCCAGAATCAAACTTCAACTTTCAGTACCCAAAGCAAGTAAAAAATAAAAAAAATTATTCCAAATTTCACAAAGGACCAAGTCAAAATTTACCCCAAAAACTAAAATTATAAAGACATTTATGTAGCAAGAAATTCAAAACAAAACCAAAAAATTGGCACTCCAAACTCCAGGAAAAAAAAGAGTGCTTTAAGTTGAAGTGTCACCCAAAACTTCAAAACAAACCCACATCATAGTATAACAGTTAAACGATGATGAATCACTCAAAAGAGTGAAATAATTAAAACAAAAACAACCAAGTCGTGGATGTTCCAACAATGATGTTTCATAGGGTTGATGAATGTTTAACTTTACCTTTTCTGATTGCATTTAACATGTATAGTTGTGGTTGGTGAAAGTGTCATACAATGATTTCATGATTTAGAAAGCTGAACTTCAGATTGTTGTACATCCATGTCTTCTGGTTTAACAAATTTGATTGCATAGAAATTCTCTGATTCATGTCCCTGTTTGTCTTTAGTTAGAGACCAAAAAAGGCCTCGTGATTTTTGTCAGGGACCAATAAGGACGTTGGAGATGCAACTGATGCTAGGTCAGGTGTCCACACGACCATGGAGATGCAACTGATTATCTAAACGTAGTCGTCTCAACATCCACGGTGGACCACTCAAATCCGCGTTAGCAAACTAACGTGTCAAGTGTGCACCGTTAGTTAGGCCGTTGGATGGAATTTAACAGAAGGACTAACGTGGCCTGTTTTTTGTAATTTAAGGGACCACTATGTCCCTTTTTATTGCTAGGGACCAATAAGGGCTTCGTGGATATTGCCATGGACCAAAAAAGATATTTACTCAAACAATAATACAAAAAGAGAAAAAAATTCGTACAAGTATTTTTCTTAAAAAACAATTAACATAAATATTTAAATATATATATATATAGTATATCTAATCTAAAAATTATAAATTAAAAGATAAAAAAACAATTTTTCGAATAATATGTATAATTAATAAAAAAATATCTATCATTTAGTAAAAAATAAAATGTAAAAATTTAATCACAATAAAAATAAATGACCATTCAGTGACCAGCGACCATCCAACTCCTGCATTGTAAAAATATGTTTGCCATTAAGTATTTTACAGACTATTTTAATGTTTCTCATTACTTTTCGCATGAAAAATTGTTAAGCCTATTAATAATATTATTTATTATATCTATTTGGGGGAAATATTTAATGTTTATATTTCAAATTTTTTAAATTTGAATTTTAAACTTGATGGGTGGGAAAAGAGTATAAAGCAAAAATTGGAATTATCCAAAATTGGAATTTGATTAAATAGAGTATAAAGAAAATAAATGATTACACATGTAAAATAGTTAATTTATAATAAAAATTTAAGGTGCTAAAATTAAAATTTAATAAACCTAGTATAAAGAAAATAAATTTTGAATATACTACTTATTAAATCTTACGTTATAATATATATATGTGTGTGCGCGCGCGCGTTTAATATTTTATAATGTAGAAAATCATAAAACATGTGTCATTCACCTGGTATCATACTATTTTACGAAAAATCAAATCAAATTTAAGCTGATTTAAAGACAACTGTAAAAAATATAGATATATAGTAATCTATATGCAACTATAAGAACAATTTTGTGTGGATAAATATAAAAACATATTACATGCTGATATAAAATGCTGACGTTTTGAGTTGACAAACTAGGCTTGACCCAAAGCAAAAACTAGTGTAAAAACGTAAAAATTTATGTTTTTACGTTTTTACTTGAGTGGTGCGTGTTAAAACGCAAGTAAAAATGGTCATTGGTAAAAACTGGTAAAAATACCGCGAAAAATGGTAAAAACTTACGTTTTTACCATTTTTACTTAAAATGAAAAAAAAAAGATTTACAAAATAAGAAATAAAAAAAACCCGTTTTTTGTTTTCCTCAAATCATATGCACAGTATCTTGATATCTTTTTGTTTGGATATATGTCTTTTATAATTATGTCTTATAAGTTATGCTATGAGAATCGTTTTGTGTTTTTGGATCATTGTCTGCATTGAAAGAAGTGAAATTGTATCCTTATGAGCGATGATCCAAAATTTGCAGAGTGTATGAAGCAGTTAGAGTAGATTGGTTATGTATTACTTGTTAGTTATCACTGTTTATAATTTTGATACTTGGTTATCAAAAATAATTTTCCTATTTAGATAGATAAGTAGTTCAACACACATGTTCATTATGTGATATTTTTTTACATACATACATACATACATATATATATATAAAATTTTGTATCTTGACCTTAAATAATAGAACGTAGGAACTTTACGTTTCGTGTCGTTTCTACGTTTTATGTTTCGTGTCGTTTCTACGTTTTACGTTTCGTGTCGTTTCTACGTTTTACGTTTCTACCACCTTTTTCTCTCTTTCTGTTTCTACGTAGAAACTCGAGTTTGACAACATTAGCCCAGAGGGCCAGCCCACTAACTTATTTTTATAATTAAATTAAAATTTTATCATTATTCTTTTATAATTAAATTCCTAAATCTGATTTCAATTTTTGTAAATATAAATTTGAAAAATTCAAAATACAAAGGACACAAATCCTTGCAAAAATGTAATTATTTACATAAAATGTTGATAGTTAAAGGATGCAAACTAGGCTTATCCCGGAGGGCCTGCCTGCCCCGCCTTCCAACACATTTTTATAATTAAATTAAAATTTCGTCCTTCTTCTTTTATAATTAAATTTCTAAATCTGATTTTAATTTTTGTAAATACAAATTTGTCAAATTTTAAATACTAACGACACAAATCCTTGCAAAAAATAATTATTTATTATTATTTTATAAATCTGTGTGTAATAAATGAAAGTCTATCTTTAAGAAATACTGAAAGATGTGAGTCAAACTTTATAATTTTTGAATGACCACAAGACAAGCTAAAGTATAGCAATATATTTTGGAATGACCACATGACAAGCAAAGTATAGCGATATATTTTTGTGTGGATAAATATCGAAATCTATTACATGCTTATATAAAATGTTAATAGTTAGAAGTAACAAAATGGACTTGGCTCGGAGGGCCGGCCCACCACGCCAAAATAGCACAAAATAACAATACAGTTCTCTTTTATTTCATATATTTATCAAGTAAAAGGTTTGCATTTTTATTTTGTTTCTTCATATTTATACTTCTGCTACTGTACCATTGAGGGCTTCATAACAAGATGAAATTCTTGATTTCTTCTAGAGATTAACCAACCACGGCCGATAAAATTTTTGATTTTTTTTTCCGTGCATCGTACGAGTAATACATTAGTTTTAAAGTAAATCAATGATTCATCTAATACAATGATTAATGTTTGTAATTCGATTTTAAATAAATACAAGGATTCATATCTGAAAGTGACAACTTTATAATAAGTTGATTATTGGTGTTCTTAATGGACTACACATTGTTATTTATCAAATAGATTGTTTCCACCAAATCCTTAAATGAATGCTTTGTATATTAAAAAAGATTGTATTATTAATAATCATTTATTCAGTGAAGAGAAATTTATTATATTTACCAGGAAATGGGTTATGGGTCTATAAGTATTTGTTGATAAGATCATATGCTAAGATTGAAGTGACGGATTTTGTGTGAGAAGGGATTATAAAAAATGAAACAATATTTAAAATTATAAAAAATTATATAGAATTGATAAAAAATTTCTTTAAAATTTGTAATATAACTGCAAAAAAATAAGAATGACTTATTTATATTTAAAAGAAAATAAATTAAAAATTTAACTTAAAAACATAGGGATAGGAATTGTGACAACCAAATAATGTTACTACCAATGTTACTACCACATCTTAACCGTTGATTTTCGCTAATCAACGGTTATCATTTTTCAAATCAAACTTATTAATTAATTATTAATTCGCAATAAATGATAACCGTAAATCAACGGTTAAGATATGGTAGTAACATTGATAGTAACATTATTTGGTTGTCGCAATATCCTATCCCAAAAACATAATACAAAAAGAGAAAAAAAATTCGTACAAGTATTTTTCTAAAAAATATTTAACATAAACATTTTAAATATATGTGTATAATCAATATCAAAATTTTAAATTAAAAGATAAAAATTAAATTTGCAAAAAAATGTATAATCAACACAAAAGAATTCAAATTTAAAATTTAAATAAAAAAATGACATCTATTATTCCGTAAAAAAATAAATTATCGTACATCTCACGGGCAATGCAGTGGTACCATAAAAATAAGTATAAGAGGCAGTTTTTCAGGAAAATTTTTCACAAAGCAGACGTGGCAATTTGCGAGTTTGTGATTCGCCAAAAAGTGTCAACCTACGTGGGTCAGTTAACAGCGAGCCAAATCTGCCTTCATCCTGGTAACCGCGTGCTCTACAATTACAAATACAATACAAAGAATAAAAACAAAAATCTGGATATGGGAAAAAACTCAAAACCCTAATCCTTCAAAAAATTTCAGAAAATCAGAATCTGTTTCTCTCTTTCTTGGCCTCTCCGATCTGCTGCAACGGACGTGGATGTTTTTTGTTTTGTTTTAAGGGACACTTGTGTTGTTGACTTGTTGTGCCCAACCAGTCCTGCAATTTTCTTTTGCAGATAGGAGGTTTTATTTCCTAGAAAATTATAATTTTTATTTTTATTTTTTATATTTTTATTTACTCGAGGTAAATTCATTTCAAATTGAAATTGGCGTTGTTTCTGATCGCAGGGGGAGGCCATATTCGTAAGATTTTTTGCTAGAGTTTGACGTGTTAGGTTGAGTTGAAAAGATGAAAAGCACGGAGAGAATTGCCAATTTGGCTTTAGCAGGTTAATTTTTATTGTCTCGTTCTTGTTGGTCAATTTTATTGATCCTTTGTCTTCCTTCTTTTGTATTTGTGTATAAAAATATATATAATATATATATTTTTCCAATTTGAAGTCCTAATGTGGAACTAATTTGTAACGTGGTCGGTGACTGAAATTACCCTTTAGGTATTCTAGTACAATGCAGTTGTTATATTCTTATATGTTACTGATTACAACAAAGGGCATTGCATGTTAATGTGCTAATCTGTTATCTGTGGGCTTTAATGAGTGGGAAAATGATTCTGTTACAGGATTTAATAGCGTCTGGAATTTAGATGGTTGTGCTATTGTGCAGCTATTGTGCATTTGGGTTTTTCTTTTTCATGAGTGAAGTTAAAAGTTAGTGATATGTAATTATGTATTTCTTTCAAGTTCCTTGTTGTCTAGTTTTTATGTATCAGATGAAGAGGGAAAGTGGGATATGTTTTTTTTGCATAGATATTTCATTATTAACCTCTTGTTATCTCTCATGGCAGGTTTAACTTTAGCACCTCTTGTTGTGAAAGTAGATCCAAATGTAAATGTTATCTTGACTGCTTGCCTCACTGTGTTTGTGGGATGTTATCGTTCTGTCAAACCAACCCCGCCTTCTGTAAGTAATGCTTTTGTGCTCATTCTTTTCTTTGTGTTTCTTTTTTCAAGTCTCAAGAATCAAGATCTGATTTCTCTGAATTGTGTTGCACATAATAATGCAGGAGACAATGTCCAATGAGCATGCCATGCGATTTCCCTTCGTTGGGAGTGCAATGTTGTTATCACTTTTCTTACTCTTCAAGTTTCTATCTAAGGACTTGGTCAATGCTGTGTTGACAGGCTACTTCTTCTTACTTGGGATTGTTGCTCTTTCGTATGTTCTTTTCTTTCCGTAATTGTTTCCCTTTTGAAAACAGTATTTTATTTTAAATCTTGTTTGCTATTTCATCACACCTTTGTTCTTCCCCTTTGTACAGGGCAACCTTATTACCATCTATCAAGCGTTTTTTGCCAAAGCATTGGAATGAGGACCTCATAGTCTGGCATTTTCCATATTTTCGTTGTATGTCTTTTGCTTGCCTCATAATTGCTCCGTACTCTTGCTGTGAATAATATCTCTCTTAACTGTGGTATAAGAATTTATATATTTTCTTCTTTCTGTTAGTCTATGATGACAGTTTTTGGCTCTTATTTCTGTTGATTTCTTCAAGTCTGCAACTAGTCTTATGATGTACCTTTGAAATTTTGATATTCTTACCTGACAATAATCTAATAATAGCTAATAATATTAATACTCTTACCTAAAAGAAGAGAGCGAGAGAGTTTATTAGTTGATAGCATCCCAGGAATTTTGTCATGTCTGAAATATACTCTTCTGTTTTCTGTTTGAGTACGTGAGTTACTGCTATTAGGGACAAACACATGTACATGAAATTTTTTTACAAATAAAAGACCTATAGGAGCTAAGAAATGTTTTCTCTTTCAATTAAAAAAAATGGTTAATTTGATGATAAAAAATTTCCTTTTAGTCCACCTTTAAATGTAAGGGGAAGTTTCTGAACTTCAAAATATTCAACTTTATTTGATGACAGATGTTCTAAATTAATTTTTACTTGCCCTTGCTGATTTTATTTCTCCAGTTGTAGATCATTTTTGCTCTCTTGTTCTTTATCTAGAGACACTGCATTCTGCATTTAATGATTTAACTTAATGTAAGTTTTAGCATGCCGTTTAATGTTTATTAATATCTTTTGTGTATGTGATCTCCTACAGTGCATCTATGCTTCATAGGCTGTAACTATGTTCTTACATTTGTATCGGTAGCATTTTCATGTTCGAATATTCTGTTGCCATTTTTTGAGTTTGAACTCAATCCTTCCCTTTATGAGCATCATTACTGTCTTGTATCATGGAAATTGAATGGTTTTATGTAAATTCTACTTGCGTCCTTAAAATAATTTGAACTGTTCTCTGGACAGGGGAATAAAAAATTAGACTAAGTGGAACAGAGAATGCTAAATGCATAACCTCATGGATCTCACATGGTCTTGTTATAATAATTTGTAGTGGATTCATTTTCAGATTATCTTAACATTGGGCTAGTTGGTTATAGCTACTAATGTCTTTGGTTTCAATTCACATATAAGTTTTATAGGACTTTTGTGATCATATCAGGGTTGCATTAATTTTTCATTCTATTAAGGCGAGAAGAGATAACTCTGCAATGATGCCATATGTTGCGTGATTTCTATTTCATGGGCATCTTGGCAAGATGGGGTCTTTATAACCATTACGTGTTTCCATTGTTTTTTTTTTTTTAATTTTATTTTCAGTTTCAGGTCAAATGTGTGAAGCTTGATTAACTGTTTTGTTGGATTCTTCATGAGCTTGCTTTTTTTTTTTTAATCATGAAATGATTGTCCCATTGTTTTGAAGCATTTGTGTTTTGCCATTTTGCCTGTTTGCATTTGATCTAGTTGACATTTACTTGCTTCTATCATGCAGAATGATATTTTTCATTACACCTTTCTTACACAGCTTTGGAGATTGAGTTTACAAAGTCACAGATCATTGCTGCAATTCCTGGAACCTTTTTTTGTGCATGGTATGCTTTGCGTAAGCATTGGCTGGCAAATAATATATTGGGTCTTGCTTTCTGTATTCAGGTTTGGTGCTTAACCTGTTACCTATGTATATTTGTATAAATTCTACTTTCCTGGTTTATAGAGATGCTTTTTTAGAACTGTTGTGGTTAATATTCTTTGGATATCATCTCTTGAATGCTGTGCATAATCTGAGCTATAAGGTGGGCTAAATAAATAATAGGCATATTCCTAAGAGAATGGACTTGAGAAAGAAACTGAGTTATCAGTTATGAATGTTTGTGTAAATCACATTCGAATTAAACATTGAAATGTCCCCAATGACTCAAGTTTTAATGCTCACAGGGAATTGAAATGCTCTCTCTTGGGTCATTCAAGACTGGTGCTATTCTCTTGGTAAGTATTTTTTATCTTCAATTATGGTTAATGGCTCTCAAGCCTTCTCTTTTTCAATATTAATTACAATTTTTTAAACATCTTGTTTTCTAGATCACCCATCCTTTGACTGGAAATGAACCAAGCTGTTTCATCTCATTCATTTAAGAAAATTTGGGCAAACAATTTTTCTTTTTTTGGATAAAAGTGCCTTGAGTTTGTTGACTTGTCTCTCTCACTTTATCAGTTCCTGATTTCTTTTGACCTTTCCAATCAATATTACTCTCTGATTTCAAAGGATATATGTTTTACCATGCTGATATAGTTTCTTGGTTTCCATAAGATTAAGTATATGTTTGTATTGTGTTGTTCATTGATGAATTTTTTTTTTGTCAATATGGATTTTGAATCTTTTCCGTTCTTTTGTTTTACAGGCTGGACTCTTTGTTTATGACATTTTCTGGGTTTTCTTCACACCAGTGATGGTTAGCGTTGCAAAATCATTTGATGCTCCAATAAAGGTTAAAATCTTAGCTTAGTGAAATGAATTTTTTTGTTCATTTGCATATGAATTTAATAATATTCATTATACAATTTCTTCCTAATATTAATTATTCCAATTGTTCACAGCTTTTGTTTCCCACATCAGATTCTGCTAGGCCATTTTCGATGCTAGGACTTGGTGACATTGTTATCCCTGGTAGGCTGAATCTTTTATGTTTATGTATTGATGTATTTTCTTTTAAAAGTTTTTAAAATATAGGTAAAGCTATTTAGCTTCATTGTCCCTCAATTTTTTTGGGAACAAAAGTTAGTTTGAGGGGGAATGAGGAAGAATGGTTTCGCTTACATTCCCTCCACTCCGTAAGTTTTTAAACTCTGAACCTTATGTCACTAATTGGGGTTGGTTACTTCTTTAAACTCCCAGAGAAGGGGATTGATTTCCCTCTCATCTTTACTCTTCCATCCGTAAACAAGGTCAAGTTAAATATAGAATTCTTGGTGTAGTATCATCCCCCATTATCTAGAACTCAGAAGGTTTTCACCTTGTTTTAGTCTATCGGATTCTGTTTTCAAGATTGTTCTGACTGTCTATTTTGTTCATCTCCTTTTGGTAACCAGCATAACTTTAGTCCATAAGTTCAAATGGGCTTTAGAATTTTTTTATTGCATACCACTAAGAATGTTAGGTTTAGGGAAGAAGGAAAAGATAGAAAAACAGCAATAGAAACTAAATATATGACTAGTGGGGAAGAAGGTCATGGTGGATTATACCTCTTAAAGAATTAGGTTTAGAGTTAGGGAAGAAGGAAAAGATAGAAAAACAGTGAAACAAACATAATATATGATTAATATGTTGTGATTTAATACAATAACCTGATTCTCCTATTTATACTAATAACTACATCAAGTGCTAGTGCTACTACTACAAGCCCAAGTTTATTTACACTTATACATATCGAACTACTTGGCCCTTGCTGTCTAAAAGAGCATCTGATCAGGAAAATTTTCCTTTCTTGTTTTTATTTAAAATATTTTTCTTATTTGCCAACTTAAGTTCTTCACACTTGCGGAATTTGTCTTGCGGAGAATTAGCTATGTTTTGGGCAACTGCAGATAAAGTTTTTAAGAAATAATCTCTACAATGTGCTTCTTTGTCTATAAACCTAAATGTCAATTTTAAGTGTGGTTGCTCGGGAAAGATAGATGCAATACCATGTTTTTACTAGAACTGAGGAGCCTGTTTTGGTTATTAGGTTATAACTTCAAATAAGAGTGAGAAACAATTGTTCTCCCTAGCTTTATGAGGGTTCTTTGATAATTTTGATGTTTTAGATGTCAAAATATGCATTTTGAAAGGCATTTATTCTTTTAGAAATTGGAATGTATATAATTGTGGTCAGTTGATATACAATCCATTTCCATTCATGGACCTCACTTCCATATAATAATTTGATAGTTACTCTTGAAAAGATTGAGGAACTTAGACAGATTTTATAAATTTGCTTGAGTGAAAAGACACTCAGCATGCATTTATATACATGGAGTAATTTAATTACAGCTTGTATTTACAAGAACTAAGAATAATAGGAGACTCATTTCCCTTGACTCGACCTATTTCTTTTGCTGTATTAATTAGAATACCTATTTCCAACAAGTAATATTATGAACCATGGCAGTCAAGTCGGTGCATATATATCATAAGCTCCCAGCTTTGTACATAAGTTTGTGATTCTTGAACCATGGAAAGACTTAGTGAGGTGGCCTGCTGATCATTGAAGTTCACAAAAGAGCTAGTGATTACTCCAGAAGTAATATTTGCACAACAACACGTTGGCCCGCCCTGATACCAACTTAAAAAGATTGAAGAACTTAACAGAGATTTCTATGAATTTGCTCTAGTGAAAATACACTCGGCATCTGCATTTTATATACATGGAGGAATTTAATTACAACTTGTATTTAATTTAGAAGAACAATGAATAATAAGAGACTCATTTCCCAGGACCTGGACTACACTAATATTCCCCCTTCAAACTTAAGTGGGTTGGATCAGGAGAGCATGATCCAAGACCTTGAGTTTGTCTTTTAATTCTGTAAACCTTGCAGCAGAGAGAGGTTTAGTAAATGTATCAGCAATGTATATCATAACTGAAAGCAATAAACTAGAAAGTATAAATTTGCACAATGTATTGCTCACAATTGCACAACAGAGACTAGATCGATAAGAAACTTTGTTTCAAAGTTCAACTCCATCAAACCCCATCATGAAGGCGTGGTTCTTTTGCTTTCTTCTTCTTAGCATGGTTATGTTCAATCAAGGCGTGTTTGGTGGTGACAATCCATATAAAGAAGTTCGTGAGAAAAATGTGCCACGTCCAACACTATGCTGCATTAACAATTCCTAGGACCTGAATCATTTGCTATGCTGCATTGACTAGAATAATTATTTTCCATCAAGTAATCTTATCAACTGTTACTTTTATTTATTTTGACTACATATGATTACCCTTCAGGTATCTTTGTAGCATTGGCCTTGCGGTTTGATGTTTCAAGAGCAAAGCAGCCTCAGTATTTCAAGAGTGCATTTTTAGGATACACTGTCGGCTTGGCCCTTACAATAATTGTGATGAACTGGTTTCAGGCTGCTCAGGTGACTGGATCTGTAGTTTCATTTTATTCTCTCTATGTCTTTTCTTTCCTCTTGATGTCTTTGATGGAAGGGGATTGTTACTGTATTGTCTAATATATGGTTGGTTGAGCACGTGAAAATGTGATGGATATTTGCTGATCAATCTTCTCCATTAACATATTTTCCCTTTTCTTTTTATCCTTGTTTCAGCCTGCCCTTCTATATATTGTACCTTCTGTAATTGGATTTTTGGCTGCTCATTGCATATGGAATGGTGATGTTAAACAGGTATGTTCCGCTTCCTAATTTTACCTTTTCTATGTTCTTGTATCAATGTTAATCTATCCTTTTTTGTGCATCTAATTTGTTTACACAACTTTTGTTTTTTGTTTTTATTTTATTTTATTTTTTACTGAAATATAACATCTCATCTTCATATAGTAACCATGTATAACTTACAATAGTTCAAATTTGAGCTACCGTTTCTTTGCATGATCAGTAAACTAGAAAGCACCATATCGGAACAACTAAGGTTCTTCACTTGCAACAAAAGCTTCTAACAATTTTTTTGAGCAAGATGCACCAAATGGTTCATTGATAGTGAGATAAAATTAAATCCTTAGAATATCATTTGACACCACTAAAAAGAGTTTTGAGTTTTAAATTTGACCCTGTAGCACTGTAAAATTGTTTCAACTATCAATACATAAGAAATTGTCACATTGTGGTGGTGACTCAGGTTTGTCACGTATAATTTAAAAGCTTTTACAGATGGCATTGGTCAGAATCAGTTCTAATAAATATTTACTAAAATTTGCATTTAACTAAGTGTTCAACTGTTGTTTTTCACCTCTGAAGTTGCATCAATTTCTGAAGCAGGTAAGCTAATTTACAGATGCTTATATTATTATGCAACCGTTTTTTCAAATTAGCTTATGACGTCCCAGATGTTTTAAATATGATGGGACATGAGGAAATGAAAGATACATAGATATAAAAGGTAGGCATTTGTAGGTAATACTTTCTAAAGGTTACTTGCCTGTTATAATCAGTTCTAAAAGGTCTGTCGCATACTCCATTCTAAAATTCTAATAGCTTTGGTAACAATAATTATTGAAAAGAAGTTTCTGTATATTGATTTTGAATAATTTACATGAGTGAGTATTTATACAAGAAAGAATCGCTAAGAATGACTAAGCGATGACTAATCAATCCTAATCATAATCAATTCTAATCAATCACAATCAATCCTAATCAATCATAATCAATCCTAATTAATAGGAAATAAAAACGGAAACATGTTTGGATTCTGATTTTCTACACTCCCCCTTGAGTTGGGAGGTAAATATTGATCATTCCCAACTTGCCAATCAAGTCTTCGAATGCTGGACGGTGTAGGCCCTTGGTAAGGATATCTGCCGTTTGCTCTTTGGTTGGAACATATATCAAACGCACACTTCCATCATCTAATTTTTCTTTGATGAAGTGACGATCAACTTCCACGTGCTTTGTTCGATCATGATGCACAGGATTTTGAGCAATGCTAACAGCTGCCTTGTTGTCACAATATAGTTTTATTGGTAGGGAATATGAAATCTTCAACTCTTGAAGAAGTCTTCTCAACCAGATTCCTTCACAAACTCCATGAGATAAAGCTCGAAATTCTGCTCAGCACTACTTCTTGCAACCACTGTTTGCTTTTTGCTTCTCCAAGTAACAAGATTTCCCCACACATAGGTGCAATAGCCTGAGGTAGATCTCCTGTCTACTGATGAGCCTGCCCAATCTGCATCAGTGTAGATTTCAATTGTCCTTTTATACCCCTTTTTAAAGAACAATCCTCTTCCTGGAGTATTCTTGAGGTATCTAAGCACCCTATAGACTGCACTAAGATGCTTCTCCTTGGGTGAGTGCATGAATTGACTAATCATACTCACCGCAAAGGCAATGTAAGGACGCGTATGAGATAAGTAGATTAGTTTACCAACCAATCGCTGATATTGTTCTTTATCCACCTCATTCCCATCTTCAATACCTAACTTGGTATTAGGTTCCACAGGTGTCTCAGCAGGTTTACTCCCTAACATTCCTGTTTCCAACAAAAGATCTAGAACATATTTCTTTTGTGTTAAGAGTGATGTCTGTTTTGCTCCTAGCAACTCCCATACCAAGGAAATATTTGAGAGTGCCAAGGTCTTTGAGTTCAAATTGAGCTGCTAGAAATTTCTTCAAGGTGTTCAATTCCTCAATATCATCACCTGTAAGAATTATATCATCTACGTATACAATAAGAATAACAATTTTACCATCCTTAGAGTGTTTGTGGAAGAGAGTATGATCAGTCTGTGCTTGAATGAAGCCTCTTCTTTTGACTGCTTGTGTGAATTTGTCGAACCATTCTCTGGGAGACTGTTTCAATCCATATAGAGACTTTTTTAGTTTACACACTAATCCATTTCCCTTTTCAAAACCAGGTGGAGGATCCATATAGACTTCTTCATGTAAGTCACCATTTAGGAATGCATTCTTCACATCTAACTATTGCAGAGGCCAATCTAGATTGGCAGCAAGAGATAAGAGAACTCGGATGGTATTGACTTTAGCAACCGGAGCAAAAGTCTCATGATAATCTATCCCATGAGTCTGAGTGAAACCCTTTGCAACCAATCTTGCCTGGTATCTATTGATGCTATTATCTGCATTGAATTTTATTGTAAACACCCATTTGCATCCTACTGCCTGTTTTCCTTTGGGTAGGGTCACTATCTCCCAAGTTCCATTTCTTTCTAAAGCATTCATTTCTTCAAAGACAACATCCCTCCATTTTTGATCATTGAGAGCCTCATGTATATTTCTCGGTATCTTTGTACTATCCAACATAGTATTGAAAGCACGAAACCCTGGGGACAACTTTCCATATGAAATATGATTAGAAATAGGATGAGTAGTACAAGATCGAGTACCTTTTCTGAGAGCAATGGGCAAGTGTAGATCATTTTCACCATGACACTCAAGTATTGGGGTGCTGGAACTAGAACATGGTTCAGAATCCTGGCAGTGTAGAGGCTCTGGGTTATTCACACTTTGAGGAGGCTTTCGCCTGCTATAAACTTGTCCCCATTTTGAGGAGGCTCCTGATGGTGAGGATTCTGTAGCTCCCCCTGTTTCCAAAAGTAGAGGTAATACCGTGGCATGAAATTTTTTAAACACGGATGCAGCATCGGACTTATCCTTTAGAAGATACACCCAACAGACTCGAGAATGGTCATCAATGAAGGTAATGAACCATCGAGTACCTGAAATATTTTTAACACGGGCTGGACCCCATATGTCACTTTGAATTAAGGAAAATGGGGAGGAGTCATGGTGAACTTTAGAAGGATAATGAGCACGAGTATGCTTGGCAAGTTGACAAATATCACAAGAAAACAAACTTGGACTTTTATTAATAAATAAGTTTGGCAACAACTTCTGAAGATAAATAAAATTTGGATGGCCTAGCCTACGATGCCACAGCATAACATCATTACATGAATCAAAAGGAAACATAGAGTTTTTTCTACGAAAACAGCTTCATGAGTCACATCCTCATCAAAGTAGTAAAGTCCACCATCCTCTCTAGCACTGCCAATCATCCTCTCCGAGTCCTGTTCCTGAAAAACACAACCATGTGGAAAGAATTTAGCAAATCAATGCAACTCAGAGGTGAGCTTGCTAATAGAAATGAGATTACAAGTCAGAGAAGGAACATAAAGAACTGATGTCAAAGTAATCAGCTCAGAAAGTTTAATGGTTCCGTGTCCCGCAATCTGGGAAAAACTGCTATCGGCGATCTTGACCCGAGAAGGTTCAGAATATGGAGTGTATGAACAAAACAAGCCAAGATTACCTGTCATATGATCAGAGGCTCCAGAATCAAGGATCCAATGATTTTGACTATCAACATGGAAAGTTGTACCTTGCTGGACCACATGACTAGTGGCCTTAGGAGGTTGAGTCAAAAGTCTCTGAAGTTGTTCAAACTTAGTCTTACTAAGAAAGACACCATCAGAGTAAGAGGAAGAGTGTTTTGAGAAAGCCATGAATAGAAAGAGAAGGGTTGACCGTTGATGAAAAATCAAGTTTTGTAAATTTTTGATCTGACCTCTGGAACAGGAAGGGGAGAAGCCGGCGTGAAGGTCTGTGCAAGTCGCGGCGGAAAAAGACGTTGGGAAGGCGGCGCGTGGAGCTCACGTGCCGGAAACTGGCCGCGCGTGTGACGGCGCGTGCGGCTGTTGACGGCGATGGGTCCAGCGGCGGTCGACTCGTCAGATCCTTCTGAGTCGAATGGTCACCTCACTTTCTTGATCGGAGGTCAATAGACTAGGTTTCTGTGTTGGACAGATTCAAGGAGGTGTTTAGGAGGTGTTTGACGGTGATGGAAGTGTTTGGATGGTTATTTTCGATTTGAATTAGGGTAGGAACGAACCCGCTCTGATACCATATTGAAAAGAAGTTTCTGTATATTGATTTTGAATAATTTACATGAGTGAGTATTTATACAAGAAAGAATCGCTAAGAATGACTAAGCGATGACTAATCAATCCTAATCACAATCAATTCTAATCAATCACAATCAATCCTAATCAATCATAATCAATCCTAATTAATAGGAAATAAAAACGGAAACTATGTTTGGATTCTGATTTTCTACGATAATTATTATGAAGTGATTTATTAGTTAGTGGAGACCTGTTTGTGTTATTTTCGTGCTAATACTCCACGATGGGCGGGATTTATACCTGCCATTTATGCTTGCTAGATGAGACTTAGCTAAGGCGTAACACCTTTTTACTTTGTTTAAACTCAGTTGTTGGAGTTCGATGAGTCCAAGACTGCCAAATCATCTCAAGAGGAGAGTGATGCCAAATCTAGCAAAAAGGTTGAATAACATGAAGCATGTTCAATACCAATACTTTTTTGAGTCACAGAAAAAGCAATGTTATTTTCTAGGAACCTCCGTTACCTGTAATGCTAACTATATCAGCAGTAACCTCTGTAAAAGATTTTGTGATTGAGAAAAATAATTGGTATTATTTTCAGTTGAGGATTTTGCATTCACATGACTAAGGTTTGTTTTCTTGGCAAAATATTTTTCTCCTTTTTCTTTTTTGGTTGGTCTAAATCTGTTCTCGCTGCAGTATAATTTTAATAGTCTGCTGAGAGGAAGACTTATTTGTTTGGTTTTCCTTTGTATAACTGGTGTTGCCTCTTAAACTGTTTTTTCTGGAAGACTTCTGCATGTGTGACTGGTAGTTTTAAGAGCTAAATTGGAAGTTATTTACAGGTAAAAAGTGAAACGACTTTATAATGCTTTAAAAAAGTATGGATAAAGTGATTATCATATCATATCATATGTACTATAAACATTTTATTTAAGCTTTAATTTTTGAATATAATGACAAGTCTTCTAATGTCCATTTGATATAAAACTCCACGGCAGATGAGATAACTTGGAAGTTTTAAAGACTTGGTTGTAATGATGACGTGAATTGTGAAATATTTCATTTTCTATCATATACTACTACCCATGCCATACGTAATATAATTAAGTAATTAGTTAGCAATGATAGTATGCATGCCATTTTATTTTGGGCCGTTTCTACAGTATTTATGATCTAATAGTGTAATGGTGGACTATGATATCTTTACCATTAAATTTTTTGTTTTCATTTGATTATTTTGTCTCCCACTTCTGTCCCTTTATTCTAATTTAATTAACTCTTAGGTTTTTTTTTTTTTTTTTTTTTTTTTTTTTGGATATAAACTTTCCAGTATTAAGTCGCCAACCAGCACTGATTATTAATTCAGATTTGAGTCAAGTAGGATCACAAGGCCCCGAAAAGCTTTCTCATGACTGATTAAATTGGAACAGTTTTTGCCAGTCCGCCACTTGATAAGCTAGAACAACACCTGCCAATTGATCCTTCTTCTTTTTTACATAGAAAGTTAGGGAGGTTAAACGCATATATTCAACTTAGAACCCGGGTAGACACCTTAACCTCTTTAAGAATTTATGAGAGAAATTACAAATTAGACCATAAAAGAGGTGCTCATATCAGTATACAGAACTCACGTCCTTCTGAATTACAAGACTGATCCTTAATCAACTGCTCCGCCGTAGTTGGCTTTGTCATCCTTTTTTAAATGGCCTATAAGACACACTGTGGGTCTCAGAAAAACTCCTTAGTAAAGCCCTTAAGTGAAGCTCGAATGAGGTTTGAGAAAAAGAGTAAAGAATAAAATAAAATAGGATGAAGAATATTGGGAGAGATTGAATCACGCTTCTCATTTTCTGCTAGATATAATAGTTACATATATAAAAGATGTAGGGTGTGCATGACAACCATTTTATTTCCTAGCACTATTTTTGAAAACAATTCTTTTATATGTTCTGAAGAAAAAAAAAAATATGTTTGATAACATGTTCTATTTTTATTCCGAAAATGAGAATTGAGTTTGATAACACAATAAATAATATAATAAAAAATATAAAAAAAATTTGGATTATTACTTTTCTTTTCATATGGTGTGGTTGTGGTTGTGGTTGTGGTGGTGGTGGCGGTGGGGGTGGCATGGTCGTGGTGATGGCGGCGGCGGCACGGTAGTGGTGGTGGTTGTGACGACAATGGCTGTGGCGATGGCGGTGGTAATGGTGGCGGCGACAGTGGTAGTGGTGAGGATGGTGGTGGTGGAGGTGACGGCAGTGGCTGCGACAATGGTGGTGGGTGGCAGCAACAATGGTAGCGGATTTCTCATTTTGTGCCCGGGAACAAAAAAACGGAAATTTTTTATTCTTTTTTCTGTTCTCCAGCACAAAAATTAAACCGGTTCATCCCAAAAATAAAATAAAAAAACCGATTTTATCAAATGAGTTTTCTATCCATTTTTATTCCCAGGAACAGAAATTAAAAAAAAAATTGATTCTAGAAAGATTGTTATGCACACCAAACCTCTTCATTTGTTCTTCTTTATTAAAGAAAAAACGTTTTTTTTTAACAAAAAGTATAGTTAAAATTTGTGTACTAATTAAATGGGAAATCATTTTTCATGTTAGTAATAGAGACAATATCACAACCGGGAGAGGAAAGAGAAAAAAAGAGAGATGAAATCCATTTTTGTTTTTTGTGTGTAGGAACTTGACTTCTCACATATGAAATGAAAAAAATATAACCCTAATTAAATAGTTGTTTGGAGGGAAAAAAAATGCATTATTACTTTTCTTATATCACTGCAGATAAGTATTGTTCTCCACAGACACAATAAATGTGGGCCCCACCCTTTTCCAAAAAAATGGCTCACAGTTGATCTATATGCAGGGGATCAGTTTCTCCATTAGGACTATTATCTAATATTATCTTAGACAATTTTATCTAATATTCACCGAAACAATATCATTTTGGGATTGAAAAATTAAAAAATAATGATAAAAACTATTATAACATTGAAATAAATTAAAATTACAAATACATCATAATTTTTGCCTCAAAACGATGTCGCTTCGGTAAATATTAGACAAAATTACCTAAATAATTTTAGAAAAAAAAAGAATAAAAAAAAAGTCGAAACTTAAAATGGAGTTCTAAATTCAATTGTTGTGTAGCAGATGTCCAAATTATACATTTTTATACTGCAACTCTTGTTCCTCTTCAACCATGAGAGATATTTAACAACAGTTAGCATCGATTTGGTTATCTCCAACAGGCCCAACCCTCAACCATTGTTGTCGTTATCTTCATGTGCTTCCTTTCAATGTTACAGCAACCTTGTCCCAACAGACTTTGCAGAAGATGACAATCTCCTTCAGTTTTGAACAGTAAATGGAGCAAAGCAATTTTAATATCTCCAAAAAAATAAAAAATAAAAAATAAAAGCAATTTTTTATTTTTCGTATTTCAAGCAAAGATTGAAGGTAAGTTGATTCAATTGAATGACTAAGACCACCAACCATATGAATCAACTGATGATGGTTATTATAGCTTAACCAATGATTTTGAATTCGAGTAGTTAATAACCTTTATCTTTGACAGAAGGTGGTTGGTTGGGCCTCTGAATGAGTCCAATATATCGGTTTATAACAATATCTAAATTTATTTTTTTAACATTTTAATAATATTGAATCAATTAATTTTTTAGTTGTTAAAAGTTTAAATTATTAAACTAGATTGAATAATTTAACTAACACGAATTTTCAAAAAAAAAAAAAACTTTTAACAACCATTACTCTAATTTGTTTTTTCTTTGTATTTGATACACAGGATAAATTCTTAATCGTAACTCGCCATCTTTTAAGACTTTAACTATCAAAATCAAAACCTTTTTTTTTTTTTTTTTCATTTACCAAAAAAAAAACACCTTATTTTTTCTGCAAAGACAGTAAAGACAACAGTCCAATTATATATAAAGAGATTAATCTTTATTTGCATAGAAGTTTCTATAATTTAAAGAGCATTATACTTAAATTTAATAAAAATCTAACACATCAATTTTCTAACGACTAATGGTTAGTTTAAAATTTATTCATTAGAAATATTAACCTCAAAATATCTCAACTTTTTTCTCTGTTTTACATACGCAGGTGGGACCTGGCAATGCACGTGGAACTCAGGGATCCTATATATATTTTTAAATTATTTTGTTTATCAAACAGGCCCCCTCCAGTGATGCACGTGAGACGCGTGGCGGCGCGGGTATTCTCTTCTTTGGAGTGAAATTCAATTCTCAACATGAATGAGTTGTCATGAGTCCCAACCAGCTATTCTATATATTGAATTCTTCACCGTTAAATATATATGAAATTAAACGTACATGTGCTAAATGGAACATATTTGATCCTGGATGATGTTGTACTTTATCTTAATATATTTCACTTTAGATATATAGATTCATCATGCAATGAGATATGTGAAGCTAATTCTTTATATGTAATAATTGTAACGAATTAATATCTAATATGATTTTATGTGAATGACTACATGCATGCATAATGCACTTTCTAGTGTCATATTCTTAGAAATACAAGGCCAAATTGCCATCCCTAAACATGCCCCCCATAGGCAGTGGTGGAAGCTCAATCTCAGGAAGAGCTGGAAGATAACTATTTATTAGATGAGATTAGGTTTGTTTCCCTCGACGATATATAGTATCTCGATATAACAATTTAAGATGCAATGGTATGATCAAAGATTTATGGAGAGTCACCATAGATGATATATATCTCAATCGTAGGTTGAGCGCAAAGGGAAATGTACGTGAGAGTTTGGCGGTTCTAAGATAATATTTTGGTGAACTAACAACTCTAAAATCAGTCCCACGTTGGTTACGTGGATGACTAATCTGGGATTTATATGGACTTTGTTGAGAGAACATCATCCCAAACGCTAATTTAAAGGTAAGAGAGCTCAAAATTCATATAAACCTCACATTAACTATTCAGGTAACTAATATCTCATACCTTGCAATTAGATTCCAACAATCCCACTATGTGCTGTGAGGCAAACAAACTCATGTGAAGCGTGAGATATAAACTTTACTATACAGCAAAGTGAGATCCTCTACAATAAGGGTTTAAAAATAGGAAGTAACTCTTCATTTCCCTTTCTTTATTTTCTCACTCTCTACGATCTCTTTATGCACATGCTTTCTCACTTTCCCTCTCTCTTATTTCTCTATTTTTTTTTTCTCTCTATGTTGCATATGAAGATGGAAAAAGAAGACTAACTAGCATCCTTGTCTTATTACTTTGTTTTCTCATGCATGCCTGGTCTAACACATAAGGACTCCGAACAAATAAGAATATGTGGTATAGAAAGGTATTACGTCATGGAAAGAATGAAGGATGTAATTAATAACGAAGATTAAATAATAACAGCATGCCGTATTTATTTTAATTTTTACTTATATACATTATTTATTTATATAGTTCTCTTATGATTTTCCCTTTCCTTTCTTCATGTCTGGTTTGCATGCTAGATAAACTATTGACTCATGTTTCAATTGAAAATAAAAAGGAATTTAAGATTTTTATTAGCATTTGCTTACTACTGGTATACAAAAAAAAAAAAAACATTTGCTTACTAC